TCGGGTCGACGCGGAACTCTCCACGCAACCTGGAGGAGGAGGGGAAACCCTCCTGGCAGACGCTGTTGGGCCTGAACAGATTAATGAAATCGTGGCTCGATGGACCGGTATTCCCATTACCAGACTTAGGACTACCGAGAAGGACAGGCTCCTGCATATGGAATCTCACCTTGCTAAAATAGTTGTTGGCCAGAGAGAAGCCGTCCAGTCTGTTTCTAACGCGATTCGACTTCAACGTTCCGGCCTCAGCAACCCTAACTCCCCACCAAGTTTCCTCTTCTGCGGTCCTTCCGGGACAGGTAAAACACTGCTTACAAAAGCATTGGCTGAATTCTTGTTCGATGACTCCAAAGCCATGATTCGATTTGATATGTCTGAATATCAAGAAAGACATTCTTTGAGCCGAATGATTGGCGCGCCTCCGGGCTACGTTGGACATGATTCTGGCGGCCAGCTAACGGAAGCACTTCGCCGCCGGCCATTTTCCATTCTGCTCTTTGACGAAGTGGAAAAAGCTGCGAAGGAAGTCTTGACCGTCCTGCTTCAGCTGATGGATGATGGAAGAATTACAGACGGCCAAGGAAGAATCGTCGATGCGAAGAACTGTATCGTCGTGATGACTTCTAATCTCGGCGCAGAATTCCTCCAACGTCCTACCGGCACGAATGATCAAATCGAACCAACCACCAAAGAGCTTGTCATGGGCGCGCTGCGGAACTACTTCCTACCCGAATTCCTCAACCGAATCTCCAGCATCATTATCTTCAATAGACTAACGAGGCGGGAAATCCGGAAGATCGTCGATGTCCGACTGCAGGAGATTCAGCGGAGGCTCGAGCTGAATGATCGCTCGGTGACGATAGAATGCACGGACGAGGTCAAGGATTACTTGAGTAATGCCGGCTACTCGCCAGTGTACGGTGCCAGACCGCTATCGCGACTCATCGAGAAGGAAGTCCTCAACCGCCTTGCGGTGCTGATCCTAAGGGGAAGCATCAAGGACGGCGAAACTGCCCGCGTAGTTATGGAGAACGGGCGTGTAGCTGTGCTTCCAAACCATGCTAATACCGAAAGCGAAGATGAGGAGATGATTGACGAAGATCAGGCACTCATGGAGATGGAGGAGGACTTGGGCGAACAAGACCTTTATGAGTGAGCATATGAGTAGAGACTGCATTAAAAAAAGATGGATGTCCTCTTTATTCTTCGGCTTTGTTATATGGCCAGCATCGCATTCTTTTTCTCTTTGTCGAAACTTTTCCCTTTCGTAATGAACTGATGATCTTTTTTTCTTCTGCTTTTTGGTTGAACCCGAAGAAGGGGGGGGGGGGTTTGCTTGAAGAAATATCGTGATAGCATGGGAGTTACACTGAAATTGTATCTTTTTTGAATACTTCGAAACATAGCGGATGAAAAATTTCCTTGCCTTTCCATCCCATTTATGTTGTACATCTTAAAAGGGGTTTTCATTGGCGACGAACGTTCAATGTGTAGCCTTGCTCTCATGTAACTTACTAGCATGATAGCAACGGGCTCCTGTCCTTTATTTTATTGTCTCTTTCACAACCTTGACACAGTTTTAATATGCGAGTATGTAGAAATAGCAATTTTTCCAAATTCCAAATTCCAAATTTTCTATCCTGATCCATGTGATCTCGCGTTGTGCTTAGTTCCACGAGTTACGTAGATAGTGTCCTGACGCGACGCGCCAAGAACCTTATCAACATCATGTCCTCCTTTTGAAACTCCTAACTGTGCCTGGTCTGAGGGCAATACTGGACCACACAGGAAGGCTTTAATTAATTAATAATTTCAAAACTATGCCTTTTAAACCTTTCCGATCGCCACTTATCAGGAAGCCGCCGTCAACATCAACACCTTCGCGTTCATCAAGCGGTGACGAACTAGTCAGAGACTCTGGCCACATTAGTAAACGTCGCAAAGTCAGTTCAGAAACAATTGATCTGACAGTTAACGATAATGATGATGAGGACGACAACGGGAAACATGGTGCGAGATCAAAAGATGCGCCCAAGGTGGCCAGGGTGCCCAAGCCAAGCTCAAATCTCAGAGATCCTGACCGAAGGCCTCTGATCCCGAAGTGGAATCTACCGATGGAGGTGCATGTAGATGATGGCGGTACGTCGGTGACGGATGGAGGGATGGAGACATACTACAACGTTCTTTGGTATGTAAATTGCGGGTTTGAAACTTCCCGTATCTCCAATTAGAGATACGTGGGTGATATTGGGGGTCCTTTGATTATTGGCTAACATTTCACTCTCCTCAATTTTTTCTCACCAGGCGAAAACCTACAGCCAAAAAGCACAAAACATGGGATGGCGATGGGATATTAGCTGTCTGTGGTGGTTATGCGTCCTTAAAGGACATTTCTGGACGGCATTTCGGAAGAATCATGTTCAATTCTCCCCTACTACCGGGTTCGACATTATCGATTGGTGGAAAGGAAGTTGAGGTTGATTCTGTCCTGTCAAAGAAGGAGTATCTCTCCGGTCGAACATTTCTAGGGATAGCTAAACCGTCACCTGCGACTATACCTATCGACAGAGCCATGGAGTACCCGAGAGATTCAGGTCCTATGTCCAGCATATCATCCGCTATATCGACAAATGGTACGATTCGACTACCCCCTAGAACCAAAATTAAACGTGAGAATGGACAAAATGAAGGAGAAAAAAGGCCCCTTAACATAGCTGCGCCCAGAAGCTTTGCGACGAAGAATGCCTTCAGAAATCCACTCAAAGAAAGCACTGTCCTAGTGGAGATATCACCAAGCGGTAATCCCGTTCCACGACATGATCCTACAGCTCCCGGTGCAGTAATCATGAAACGGCCAACATTAGTACCGAAAGGTAAACAAGTTGTCGATGTCGTCCTAGACCCACTTTTGGGTAAACACCTTCGGGAACATCAGCGAGAGGGAGTCAAATTTCTCTACGAATGCGTTATGGGTATGCGCGCTTTCAATGGCGAAGGAGCCATCCTCGCTGACGAAATGGGCCTAGGCAAAACCCTGCAAACCATAGCGCTTATATGGACTTTATTAAAACAGAACCCGATATACGAGGCTCAACCAGTCGTTAAAAAGGCCCTGATAGTTTGTCCAGTGACGTTAATCGATAACTGGAGAAAGGAATTCCGGAAATGGCTAGGAAATGAACGAATCGGTGTATTCGTGGCTGATGCCAAACGGACCAGGCTTACCGATTTCACAATGGGAAAAAGCTATAGCGTTATGATCATCGGGTACGAACGTCTTCGAACCGTACAAGAAGAGCTGTCGAAGGGCTCTGGCATTGATATTGTCATTGCAGACGAGGGGCATAGAATGAGGACTGTACAGAACAAGAGTGCGCAAGCTATACAATCGTTAAATACCTCACGGCGGATCATTCTTTCTGGAACCCCGATCCAGAACGATCTAACTGAGTTCTTTGCGATGGTTGACTTCGTCAACCCCGGCCTTCTAGGAACATTCAAAATGTTCATGAAAGAATTTGAAGGGCCGATCGTCAAGAGCAGACAGCCCGGTGCTTTGAAAAAGGACATCGAAAAAGGAGAAGCAAGGAGTGAAGAACTAGCTAACCTAACGTCGTTATTTATTTTAAGACGTACCGCCGATATCCTCTCAGAATACCTGCCGCCTAAAACCGAATATGTCCTTTTCTGCAATCCTACCTCTTCTCAAAAAAATATCTATCGCCACGTTCTCACTTCTCCAGTTTTTCAATCCGCTTTGGGAAACTCAGAAAGTGCTCTCCAGCTCATCACCATTCTCAAAAAGTTATGCAATAGCCCTTCCCTCCTAAACCCTAGAAACTGTGATGAAACTCCCAATTCTACCCTCAGCGCCTTAGTTTCCAGTCTCCCGCCAAATATTCTTCGACACCTATCTCCCTCCTCAAGCGGTAAAATCAGAGTTCTTGACCAGCTACTCCATAATATACGCCATACTACTTCCGAAAAGGTTGTGCTTATCTCGAACTACACGTCCACCCTTGATCTCCTTGCGACACTTCTCACTTCACTCTCCTTGCCCTTTCTCCGTCTTGATGGCTCAACTCCAGCTTCAAAACGCCAAGGGCTTGTCGACGACTTCAACCGCTCTTCCTCATCTTCAGTATTCGCATTTCTTCTCTCAGCCAAAGCTGGGGGGACAGGTCTCAACCTTATTGGAGCCAGCCGGCTTGTTCTTTTTGATGTTGACTGGAATCCCGCAACAGACATGCAGGCCATGGCGCGAATACATCGTGATGGCCAGAAACGACATTGTCGAATCTATCGACTTTTGTTAAAGGGAGCGCTGGAGGAGAAGATTTGGCAGAGACAGGTGACTAAAATAGGATTAGCAGACAGCGTGATGGATCAAAAGAAGGGCGTCTCACAATTTTCGCGCGAGGAACTCAAGGATTTATTTCGACTTGACGAAGGGACTACGTGCCAGACCCATGATCTACTCGGTTGTGAATGCGATGGCAGGGGAGAAGGAGAAACGGCATCCAAGCTCCACAAAGGAGACATAATTGACGTTTCCAAATCTGATAACGAACCCGATACTTCAGATTCAGCTGAGGACGAGGACGAGGACGAGAGTATGGATTTCGCAAAGTTGATAAAGGCATCGCAGCTCCAGACCCTAACCTCTGAAAATACGACGAACGGAAATTTTTCTAGCAAAACTAAGAAGCGAAAATCTAAAATGCGTTCCTTGATGCAGTACTCCCACATCGATACTTCACTACTCTGTGATACACCATCACCCGATCAATCTCTGGAAGACTTTGACTCTGACAACAACAACAACAACAACAAGAAGAAGAAGAAGAAGAACCTCGAGGCTCATGTCGACGACGATGTTCTCCTCTCATTGCTCAAAGAGGAAGGCAATGGCGTAGGATATTTGTTCAAAAAATCCGGATCTTCTGAGATACCCCTGAGCCACATTTAACTTTCCTCTTTCCTTTGTTTACTATTACATATGTTTGAAATGATTGGATCCTTTATTCAAATTTACTTATTTCGTATGATGGCGATAGACATGAGCATCCTTATGTTATTTATTCATTAGACATGACTCCTTGGTCTCGACGCTGCAGCATACTTTGCGCATCACTCTCATTAATTTTCGTTGCACATTTAACTAGAGATGGAATACGCGCGAATTTATAGAACTTAGATCAAAACTAAAAGATAGATAACTAGCTACAGCATTTATTACTTAGTTCAATTCTCGTCACGACACTGTAGATGCATCAATACACTGTAGATGATGACATCGACATATAAATTAATCGAACATAATGTATATGTATTACCGAGGAAATATGCCAAACAAAAGAAATAGATAGACGCTTCCAAAATCGTAAAACATTCCACACCTCATCCATAGAAATGTATATCAGCCAAACCCAACATGCTATCCTGTCAACCCAGATTCCCACCCATATCACCAAATGAAATCGCCAGAAATACCAGTGCACACTTAGGGAATCAATATACCTTCCTTCCCCACCGTGGCCCCGAAACCAGATTGCAAACCAAGCCCAAACAAGAAGCATATTCGTTAATATCTCAGCTTCCCAACCATTCCGAATGTGTACGCCGTCTCCGCCTCACTCTTCATCTGGATCATATAAACCCTAAAGTTCCCACTCACCACACCACCCTCCTTTGCCACGCCGTCATATTCTTCCCAAACAGAGACTGCGATTCCGGTCCTAGCCACCCGTTCAAAGCAGCTCTCACCAAGGCATACATCCAGCAGTACCTCCCCTTTAGTCTTTCCTCTGATGAGAATGCGCTTTTCTTCCCGACGAGTTGACGAAACTGGTAGTGGCGGAGCAGCTTGAGACGTGGGAGGGGTGGAAGGTTGTCCGTCCGCCGTCATCGGTTCCCTGTTACCGATGGCTGTGGATGATGTCTTGCCTTCTATTCCAGTAGCGGCAGCAGTCCCCGGTCGGGGTGGTGCGGGAGATGCGTGTAAGATCGTAAGGCGAGCGGCACCCATATCCCGCCATTTTGATGCAGACTCGCGAGCATATAGACGGATCTTGGCGTTTGAAAGGCCGATACCGCCTGCTGCGTTTTTCGCAAGGTCATAGCCCGTGTCGAAAGGCGAATTTGGGGAGGAGTTGGATCCAGAACGGGTAGAAGTGGAGTAAAGGCTGCTGCGGTGGCTACCAGTGCGAGATGTGATGGTTGATCTGGCGATGCTGAACATTTTGTTCCCTGCACCGAATTTCTTGAGAGCTGAGAAAGCACTGGACATTGTCCCAACGCTGGAATCGGTTACACCAGCCACGGACGGGGCGGGCACGCTCGAGGCTCGATAGCTACTCCTGGACCAATTGAACCACCCACCGAATCTACTACTGCGGTTGGAATTCTGGCGGGCGAGCGAGGTAGGCTGCACAGAATATGGGCCACGGGCGTTTTGAAGTGCGATGTAAGTCGGATTGTTTATTCGAGAGTGATTGATAAGCCCATATAATTTCTCGCACTCCTCTGGGTTTCGTGAACGGAACATGATGTTGTTCCCCGTTGTGAATTTGGATCTTGTCGTCGGAAGGGAGCGAATAGATATATCTAAAGCTGTGCCGCGCCGAATTGGGACAAGAGGTGTTAATTCCAAAGCGATTAGAGGTTTTTCGGAGGGAATATTAGAATCAACCTCTTCTTCGGGCCACTCCGTGGATTCATATGCTTCAATTAGACCCGGGGTAATCACAATTCTGCATTCGTCTGGATAAAGCTCCTCCCATGTACCCTTGTCATGCCAGTAGAAAATAGACGCAACACACTTCGCAGATTGTGAAGGCTGTCGTGGAACACCTTTGTATGGAGCCTGGGAAGCGGAGTTCGATGGTCCAAGAGTCCCGTCAGGGTCACTCGGAGGAGGCGATGGAGGTGATATTTCGCGAAGCTGACGAGCGCCAACTAGCGGTAAAAGCGTTTCAATATCATCTCCTTCAAATTCCTCATCCGATGTCTCTGAGGAAGAGTTAATTTCGTGGTGCTCGATGGTGGAAGTATCAGAGCTGTCTGGCGACTCTGTTGCCGTTGAAGGTTCATACTCGTGCTTGAGCGGAGAAGAAGATCGTCGATTTCGGTTACTTCGAGGAGTGGTGGGGCTTAAAATAGGGACAGAATGCTTTGGAACCGGAGGACTCGGTGATTTATGAGGTGGCGGCAATGGAACATCCTCAGTATATACTGTGAGGTCACGACGGAGGATAACTTCATCTGGGCTTTCACTACGCTTAGCTGGACTTAACCTAGCGTTAGGGGTCTTGGGCGATGACGTTGGTGTTCCCTCCCTATCGGATGGAGCTGGGCTACTTTGTTGGCTTCCTTTCCTAATCTTGGGTATAATTGGAAGTTCGAGAGAAGGAACAGAAGATAGCGACCGTCGGCCTAGCGGCCCTCCGAGTTGGGGCTTTGGTAGATCAATTTCGGGAGATGGGTCTCTGTTTCTGGATAATCTAGGTTGGCCGTCTTCCTGAGGACGAGGAGACGTCGTTTCAGGAGATTTAGATCCAGTTAGAGGAATATCAGATGATATTTTCTCCTTCTCCGGATATCTCGCACCACTTGACGTTGGGCTCGATATCGCCAGTTCTGCATAGTTGGGTCTCCTCTTAGCCTTCGACCTCTTCAAAGTGGTTGGAGAAACTCCGCCAGCCAGGTCCATTGCTTCATTAAGGCTTCTAGGTGTACCGATTGATACCCGCAGCCTCGAAGGTGTCTGGGGCGAGGTATTTCCCGCTTCCTCTGTTCGAGGGTGTGTTACTGAAAGGGGCTCCTTTGGGCTGAAACCATCGCGGGAGAAACCCAGCGACTGCTTCGATGTTTCATAGCCAGCCCGGGTAGCTGTCTTTGATAGAATAGCAGAAGAAACAACTGTAGCCTGTTCACCAATGGGCACGTCCATATCTGTGGGGCCGTGGCTTCTCTTTTCAGACACAGTAGACAGCTCAGAGCCCTCTTGCTCCGCTCTGAGGGCCCAATTTCTGGCTCTGGCTCTATTAATAAAGCTCATAGACCGGTCAATCTTTGGCGGAACGGGACTTAATCCAATCATTTGTACCCATTCGAATCCCACCTGCTCCTCGTCTGTTTTAAAAGTAATTAACTCTTTCCAATCTTCCTCCTCGCCTGGCACACCTCTAATCATAATGACGATTTCACCCTTTCCATCACCGTTTCGAGCAGATGCTCGGCCCCGGTCTATTGGGGGGAATAAAAGCCAGCGGCCAGTGTCATCCACTTCGCATATTAACAAGTCGCCACCAGGCGCCTCGCCAGGGGGATTATCCCGAAGTAAAAGTTCAGCGCGGCAATCGATTTGCTGGCCAGTTGAATGAAGCAAAGAGAGATTGAAAAAGTCGCGAGCTCGGACCCGTCGAGTTTCTAGAATGGTGACGTCGGAAAGGACGGCGAGGTTTCGTGGGCTTCGGGCTCTCGTAGCGTCAATGGAGGCCGCCATATCGTCTTCGAGCCTTGCTCGCTCTTCGTTTGAGCGCCGTCTAGCATCCGTAACGAGACTTTGGTACACCATTGCCATCTCTTCTGCCTTCGGGGATGTCTGTACGTAGTTGATGCCTTTGAAAGTCTTTGCAAGGTATTTAAGACGCACCAGCGGTCTCTTGAGAAGAAATGCAACATCGACCTTTTCCCCATCTCCATCCACTACATCGCCGTCTTCATCTTGCGCCATTCCAGCGTATAAGCTTTGAGTCTCGGGGCTCGTTGCTTCCGACGGGTCATCATCGGGGGGTGCAAGGTTGACGACAACATCTTGAAATCCAAGGCGCCAGGCCTTCAAATAGTCCCGATAAACCTTTTGCGCACCTTGTGCCCAAGATAAAAGAGCCTCTGGATTATTCAGCGGCGCTCGTTTATGGAGAGATTTAAGTCGTTCGAGTGATATTCCCATATCGACGATGGGTCTGGTAAAGTTTTCATCATCTTTCGGATTTCCAGAAGGACGGAAAAGGCCCGCAGCAATGGCTGAATCGGATTTGGACAAGACTGATGTTAATAGAACGGGGATGACACCACCAACAAGAGTCCTCAATTCACGCATATATTTTGTCTCATCAGATGAAAATTCCTGCATGATATCGTCGATAGTGGCTGTTGCCAATCGACTTCTATTGGTGCGGATGCTCCTGGCAGATCTTATACTACGGCTTCCGCCTCCAGGGATAGACAATACCGATATAAGATCAGCATGAGTAGTAAGTCGACGTTTTAAACCATTTCTGGTACCAGGCAACGAGCTCGGATCGAATTGATCCCTGGCTTCTGACTCTAAATTCTCATCATGGACTGGTTGGGTGTTTGTCCGGAGATCAGTAGGTTGCTCATCCTGGCGCGGGTCTGTCACAGTGCTCAGTGTGTCCACAGACATTATTGTAGACAGTCGGTGGGGGCCAGTCCCTGGAAAGGGTCTTCTTAACGTCAGAGGAGGCGGTCGATCAGATATCGATACCTCAGATCCGTCCGAAGAACGAGGATCCAAGTTTGACCCTTGCAGAGCCTCATCGAGCGATTCTTGTAGAGTTGACATTTTGCCTACTTCGGCAAGAGAACTTGGGCGCTTCTTAGGTCCTGTTCTTTTTAAGGTTGGTGGCGAAGATTCTCGAGTGTCACCCAATATTTCACTGGGCTGCTCATTATAGGGTATTGAGTCGTCGTGAGGTCCTGTCGACGTTTCCGTCGAAGGGGAGCTATTAGAACGCCTTCTTGTTCTTCTGGACCCACGTCTCCTTTTCGGACTTTTTGCTTGGGATGAAAGCCTCGAGCTATCATATTCGTCGACTCGGTCGCCATGGGATGGGGGTTTTCCCCGTAACCGTGAATCTAGAGGCGCCGGGACTTGAACAGGGGGCTCCTCACCCTCCGTAAAAGGGTCAGGAGTAGACGAAAGCCATGCTTCGACGCTAGATCCGGGGTTTCGAGGCGCTGGTGCTGGGGATGCGGGTGGCTCATGTTTCCCAAAAATCTTTTTCGATTCATCAATAACATGGTTAAAAATACCCCCTTTGGGAGGCCGTAACGGCCGTGGTGGGAGTTTCTGCCCTTGCCGTCGAGGCCGATTCTCTTGTTCAGAAACCTCTATAGCCTCGCTGGGTTCAGTTGACCATTCACCATCACCACCCTGTGTTCGTAAATGCTGGTCTCTCCTGTCGTAATCACGACCCTTTTGCTTCCTAGACTGTTGCCTTTTGGAGACGGGGGTCTGATCACTAATAGCGCTCTCCACTTCGTTGTCAACCATAGATCGTGATTCGTAGATATGTTGTGACTTTGGGCGTTCACTCCTTTTACTTGAGGACTTCGAAGCTGCATAGACTCGGATTCCGTCGTCTGGTAAAGGTTTGGTGCCACAGTTGGTTGCATCAGTAACTTCATACGTCTTCTCTTTCTCCCTTACCGATGATTTCGGTTCCCCATACCGGTCAAATACGTCAGTTCTCCTCTTATGTGCCACTTTCTGGGGTGGTGTGGATGGCGGTGATCTATTCTTCCTCCAGTGCCCATCACTAATAACCCGCTTGCGCGGGGTACTGTTACTTCGAGTTCGCTGGACATTATTGTCCTTATCGTTGTTTCCTCCTCTTGCTCTGTTGGTTCTATTCTTTCCTGGGGACTCCTCCTTGCTAGAGAGAGGATTTGACTCCGGTGAGGTAGTGTGGCCACCGTCGCTCTCAGGGCCAACATCTTTCTCTATTATAACACCCCCACCTTGCTGTTGCCATCGTCGAACCTTCTCGCGTACCGAATTCGTGTCGTGGACACCCAATGGTTGGCCAATATCAAGAGGCTTCCCGTTCGCTGGAGTGGACTTCGCTCTTCCGCGGTTGGAAGGCCGACGAGGAGAAGGGACAGGCATTAGCAACTACATTGTCTTAAAATGTTAGAACAAATTCCTTATTTGTAGTGCTGGTTCCAAACACACTATGGGGGTGCAGTGTATTGTCTGGGTTCCTTCTTGTTTACATACCAGTAGCCCCGCCGCTCGCCAGAAAGGTGCATACCCTTCCTCGGCCTGCGATGGCGACTTTTTCTTTCCCCTTTCCTTTCCTATTTTCTTTTGCTTCCCTTAAAAAAGGTGAATTAGAAGCTAAAAGAATATCGATCTATTTCCTAGCCGAGAAGTGGTCTTTACTTGCGGTGGGATGTTGCTGTGATCACCCATTCTGCCATCAAGCTACCAATGACGATGCGCCCGCTACCGGGACAACACACCAAGGAAGCGCAAGCTCAAAGCGCCCCCAAACACCGATCAGAATTAAAGGCTTGCCTTCTTCAACCATCAGGAACCAAGAAGACTTGACAACACAGGCGGACTGAACCGAAATTACAATTATTATATATGAGTTGACTGAGACACATGAATGAGCTGTCTTCTCCTTTGTTTACTGCCCGTTAACCAGTTTACATGCACCGAGACCTTGAGTCGGTGTTTTATTTGCTGAGGCCTTGCAGCTATTCGCAGAGTCTCCAGAGGAGATGAAACGTTTATATTATGTATGGTCTATATGTATATATGTGTGAAGATGAAATTTATATGAGGCACATCAAAAGAGAGTATCCATAGAAAAGTTTTCATATCGCCTGTACTCTCTCTGCCCCAAAGCGCCGTCCAGATCGCTGATATATAGCAAATATTAAAATCAAAGGTATAAGGCGTTTAGTATGCAGCCGCTGTTATATTCGGGCATTTTAACGGTTTATCACTTCGTTTTGCGCTTGCCTGCAGCTTCGTTGACACACTTGACGGCATGGGACATGGCGCCCATGCTTTTTACCAAATAATCTAAGAATAGATGTCAGTTTGGTCTCAACGAACTGAAAGAGCATTATAGAGAAATTCTTCTTACAGGAAGGGATAACGATCCAGAGGAAGTTCATGAAAAAGTAGTAGCACCAGAAATAATACGCCTCTGGTCTGCAGTAGCTCAACCCATTGTAGTAGTGATCGAACATGCTCGTGGCATAGTAAAGAATATCCCCGTAGATCTGCCCGCTCGATATGATTAACTGAAGGGGGTGGCGGAGTGGATGTTCGCTCGCGATAAGATACACGTGGACGAAGCAAAGGGGTCCCCACAGAATCTATCATGAACTCACCCATCAGTTCTCAAATCCATGCACCCCTTAGTATACAAGCAAGGTAAGGGGGAAACATACAGCCGTAATTGTTTCCATGCACAGAACGAAAGGATCCGAGGTTAGGTATCGGGAGTCCGATAACGAATACTCCTTCCATAGCTGTCCAAAAAAGTCTTGCGCCGAGGCCATGCGAGTGTGGTTGACAACAAAGTAGCCTTCGAAAAACAAATGAATGCTTCCGGCTGTGACGATTTATTTATATATTAGCCATGTACCTTAACTTTTGAACCACGTACGGCGCATGAACATACTTAAGACGAACCATAATACAGCCAGCCTATCTGCCCTTCCTAGTTTCGGGGCAACGAACGATAGAATTACCAACGTGGATCCTAGAATGAAGGCCCATCCCGCCGCAAATGCAGAAATAAGAAGAGGAACAGACCACTCATTGGCAAGGTAACCAATGAGTTCCACTTCAATTGGGTAGTATGGGTGAGAGTTGGGCGGGGTGGAATTGGCCATTTGCCCAGCCATCCTTGCAGCGAAAACCAACGAATGTGGTAGGGAAACGAAAGCAATGGCGAGGAAGGCTGCCTTCTAAGATAGGTACGGATAAAATTTGAGTGGCGTATCTACTCTGTACCTCCAAAAGCACCGGACAAGTAAAGACCGCTAGGAGAACACTCTCTTCAGGGGGAAGAAACAGAGCCGCCAAGCGCACCAAGGACGTAGGTTGAAGCTGCGTGGCCGAAACAGGCTCTGGTGCGTGGGCATGGCGCTTAAATACAGCGATCCAGGGTGCCGCACGACTTAGCAAGCTATCCATCCTCCACCAACTTCAAGACTCGTCTCAGGGGTCCTTTGCAGGCAGCGCCCTATGCGTTCTACGACCTCGCACCTATATCCCCGCATCTATGGCATCAGATAGGAGAAGGAGCCCGAGAGCTATCAGACCTGATGTGACCGTGTTCCCAGAAGCGCCGCCTAATGTCGCCGCCATCTTCCTCATCCGCTTTGACATCAAGGCCGGGTGCGTATGCCCCTATCCACAGAGTGGGTAGAGAGCCGAGATACCATTGGTGATGCGCTGTACTGACAATGGGATTCTGTTTGTCTATAGTTATACGGTAAAATGGAAGCGATCTGTACCAGAGGGTATGCTCTCAGCCCCCACTCCAAGGCCGCACAGGCTGATACCTGTACAATAGTTGTCGTTGAGAACGTTGTTGAATATAAATCACTCCCATCGGGTCTACACAACGTCCGGGAAGATCTTATGTACGTCAAACTTTCTGATCATTACCTTTTACATTTTCTGATCATCCACCACGCAGTTATTTCGTCCACGAGCAATATGCCGGTATCAGCGCGTTTGTAAACCACCCTGCAGCAGAGTCGCAGCGGAATGCCTTGATGCTGGCTGTTGGAGTTTTGGTGCCTCTCAGCTATGGTAGACTAGGAAAGGCCTGGAGACATGCTGCAAAACTAAAGGAATTGGCCAGGTATGAATTGGGAGACGCTAGAATCAAAAGGATAATGGGACTCATGGTATCAATGACAGGAGCCTAGCAGAAGATCTTGATAATACGGAGCCCTTGTCCGCATACTGGGAAACGTACCAGCTATCTGAAGATACTGTTTCTCCCCCGGATTCCCCATTGGGTTCAATCGCAAGCTTAAAAACACCTGTTCGTGATGTATACGCCAGGCATCGCGCCCTCAGCGACGCCACGGCACTGTTGACCGCAAAGCAATCCCTTGCGCCTTACCATCCCGCCCTCTCCCTCCCAGAGTTCTTAGATACCTTTGGACCATTAGTTTTCCAGTTATATCGAGCAGCTTTATTACGCAAACGGATCCTCTTAGTGGGCGAGGCACCTGTCGAGGAATCATGTAACTTCGGTTTGTCACCTTCCCACCCCAGACATTGGACACTGCCAAATGACTAACGCTCAAACCAAAGTATATGACCTAGCTCTTCTCTCCTCGCTTCCACAATCCCTACTCCCTTTTATCCCACCAACTTCTTCGTTAGCTCTCAGACCTCGACCGCTATTTAGCGTTGGCATCCACGACATGCCATACCTAGCATCACGACCATCTCCCTCCATCTCAGATCCCGATAGCTGCTGGATTGCATGTACTACTGACCGCGTCCTCGGCCTAAAACCTGAGCTTTATGACGTCCTCGTAAACCTCCCTCCAGCTTACTCTAAACACGCGCCAGTAAAGACCTACCCTTCTATAGCACTGTCGATCGGCCGTACCGCAAATAAGGAACAACAGAAACCTATAAGCATTAAGGCCACCCAGCGGGACGCTCGACGATATTCTACCCTTAAGAGTGGCCTTCTTGAACTCTCTAGACGTGGCTCTTCGTCCGCAATGGATGATGAGGATACGTCGGACAACACTTCAACTTTCTCTTCTAGTTCGGTTGTTGAACCTGTCTCCTGGCCACTCCTCGCGTATACCTCCTTCCTCTGGTGGGCCTCAGCTGGTGAGAAGCGCGAAGGCCCCTCCGAAGGAGAAAACGAAGAAGACTCCCGACTTCTACTGGTCGATAATGCCCACACACCCTTCCCCACTTATCCAAGTAGCCTAAGCGGTAGCATCGCGCTACTGGACCAGGGCAGCAGCCACCAGCCGCGAGAAATCGCATTAATAACCTATTTCCGCCGCCTAACGACGCAAATATTCACAGTCATGTCAGACGTCATTGCCCGCCAGGGTGGAAACGCACCCGTCGCCGAATCAACGCTCGGTCCTGAGGATGACGGATCCAATTTTGACCATGATGAGGATTCCGCAGTTGACACGACGGCCTCTCCAAATGACCCCTTACTGCCGCTGTCGTCCTACGACGATACGTCAGACGATATCATCCCGATCAGTTCGAGTGATATGACAGAGATGGGGTTGGATACATGGAGTGCCTCGGATCGCGCATTTGTGGAGGAGCTTGTGCAGGTATGGTGGGGACGCAAGGCACAGGTACAAGGTGCGAGAATTACCTGCTGTGGGGTACGAATTCTTTAGCAAGAATCATATCCAAAAGTAATGCAGATATTAATGGGGTACAAATAACCCGGCCATGTCGAACAAGTTCTTAGAAAACGATGCTACGACATCATAGTGGGATACCCTCTTTCATCGAGTTCGGTGGAATTGAGATAAGTGCTCTATATATAATCCACCTACAGTTACCCTAGCTATCAGCATTGTGATCCTAGTGTTTCGAGTTCATGTTTTTAGCCAGGACAAACTATGCATCCAAAACCTCATTTCAAGAAGTTTAAATGATATCACATATCCAACACGGCCGAAAGTAGTTCCAAAATATGCCTGCTGGTCTAAACCAAACCGAAAACAGTTGTTATATGCCCACAGTAACAGGCGATCATGATGTTAAGTAGATGTATAATACATTATTTAAAACGAGTCCATTATTTATTTGCCTCGAAGGGGATAAAAACGTTAAATAAATAGAGCAGAGAACGGAAGAACATCCTCCGAAGAACGCCTGACCCCGAATAAAATGCCATAAAAAATAATCTTTGGAACGCTGAGCTACACGATAGAGACGCCTGGCTACCAAAAAACCAAGGGGGTGTGAGATCCACGCAGCGAGCAAGCAAGGGGATCAAAAAAGGTAGGGGAAAAAGGCACATAACCAAAGATGAGATGGAATTGGAGATAATAGACGCTAATGGAGCTTTTTGCCAGAAATTATAATAGGAAGATGAGGAGGACGAGGTCAATAACATGATGGGCAAGCCTCACGCCGCGTCAATCAGATCCAAATGAAAGGATAGGAATGAAAAGCTCCAGAAATAAATGTGAACAGAAAAGCAAAAGCATACAACACCCGCTTAAAAGGGTATCTAAACTTTGAAACCCCGTAAAACAGTACACGACGCCCAACGAAGATGTAAAGATGAATATAAAGAGGGGGGATAGGAAGAAAATAGAACAGATATAGCACCAGGTAAAACACCGCTTTAAGAACTAGATAATGCTCAATATCTTCCAATAGGTGCACTGAAATCTCTCTTGGCAACTCGACTGGCGGGACGACTACTTCCCGGAATCCGTCTTGCGCCATGGGTAGGCGTAGTGCTGGAATTTGCAAGGCGGGAACGAGAGCGCGATGAAGGACGGGAAGCAGCATCGTTGGCGCTAGCAGATCTTTTCAGAGTCTGTGCACGCCCTCTTCGCGCGCGAATCTGGGCGAGTGCTTCTTCTCGCGTTACAGGGGTGCCAGGAATGGGACAGTTCGCTCTAGAAGAGTAATCGTCAGAGTGGAGAGGAATAGTTGTGGTGGTTGTTGTCATGGAGCCTGGCATTGTTGGGGTTGTGGCATCAGCAGGAGCCATTTGTTCTTGGGAATTGGTTGTTTCGACGTGTAAATTTCGAGGAAAGAAGCGGGAGGAACTTGCCGGTTCGAAAGCAGTCGCAGGTTGTGTGACGAGTTGAAAAGGATATTGTGCTAGGACGGGAGGTTCTGTTAGGATGTCTGTGGGCTTAGGATCTTCCATTTCGACCTCCGTGGTTTGTGGCACTAGTGGGAAGGCTGAGGTGTGATTATATTGAGGCCCAGCCGGTAGCGGTGAAAGTTCCTGGACAGTTTTTTGTAGGCGGACGGATGATTCTGTATCCACGTTACTGGGAGATGCGCTGGACGAAACTGCCTTAAACGTCCCTGTATCTGGACAGAACGCCACTGCAGGTTCCGTGGTCTGCGTTTCCCGATGTGCTGTGACGATCGGAGCACTATCTGAAATTCTAGTCACCTGGGGCGCAGCTTGGTCGCTAGACGTGGAGTTTGTGACTGTTTCTTCCTTCTGGGGATTCATTTCATCCCACTCCGCATCGTGAATATACCGAAGCCCTTGCATTTCTGCGAGTCGGCAGGAGCAACGATGGAATTGGCATTCCATCTTGAGGAAGTGTACCATTTCCTCTGCTTTTAATCGCCGGCGTTTCTCGAATGCGAGGTCCTGCTCCAAATCCTCGAGAAGCTCGTCATGCGCGCTGGACTCTTTTGGGTCCTCATTTTCCTTGCATGAATTGCGGCGCGAAACCCTCATTTTGAGTGGAGAACCTAGTCGTGGACTTGCAGCTTGGTAGTTAATGCCGCTTTTGCGGGGACTCGAAGATATTCGGTCTGATTTTAATCGCAATGATGTTGGGGCGCAGGCAGCAACGTCCCTCTCCGCCAGTGGAGGCCTGGAATTGGGTGTTTCTGCTCTCAGTTCTTCGGCCCTTGCCTCGAGAATATCTGACTGGTTATCGGTTTCAAAAGAGCGTATTTTTTCTTTCAAGACCTCCACTTCTTCCGTCAATCCAGCTAATGCATATGCGCGCTCGAATGCTTCCTGTTTCGCCTTCTCTTTTGCTTCTCTCTCGCCGGCAACTTCCTCTCTTAATGTTTTTATCTCCACCCTTGACGATTTGAGTTCTTCTTGCGCTTTAACAAGTGCTGATCCAGCCCGGAAAGCTTCTTTTCGTGCCCTTCGGACTTCCTTTTCGAATACTGCTCGTTCATGTGTTTGCCGCTCCTTAAGAGCGTGCAATTCCTCCATTAAAGACTCTAGCCGTTCACTGACTCGTCGTTCTCGTGAATTCGCCTCTGAAAGTTCAGCAAGTGTTGCCTGAAGCGAAGCCTCCGCTTCTTCACGACCCAGTATCGCCCTGTGAAGGGCGGCTGTGGTGGTCGAGGAAGGATGCGACGGAGCTGGACTGCTAGCCCTTGAAAGTTGATTTAGAAATGCCACTTTCGCTTGGACATCAGAGTTCGTGCGTGTATGCTTGTGCTGGAGCGGAGAAAGCTCAGCAGGGTGTACTGGATGACCGTTCATCTTCTGCTGATTGATGCGCTCTGGAGAGACGGGGTGAAGAACAGGCCCAGGCGATGCCTGAAATTTAGGTATGGGATCCATCAGCGAGGATGAGGTACTGAAGTTATGGGAATCAGAGTTTCGATTGTTAAGGCCCCCCGAAGGCAACATGTGTGACAGCGCTATTGACGAGAGCAATCGTCGGAATTGAAATGTGGCATGAAAATTGAAATCTTGTACTGCGGTGACATCCTTGTCGTGCGCTTTTACGTTACTTTCGGATGTGTTGTTGACAAAGGGTGGGTGGTTCACTCCGGTTGCTGGGCAACGCATCCGAGCTATGGGAAACTCTTTTGGGAAATTGAATTACTCTTTTTAGGAAATATAGTCACATGATATTTCTAACCACGTGACATCTCTGCCCCTCCTGTTTTTCACGCTCGAGTATATGTCTATTGCAACTTATCTCAGCGGGCTCAGACCTCTGGCTCGGTTTGAACGGGTTGCAGCATTATTATTAACTAGTTAATCCGGCATGACACTAACCTACTTTTGATACAAGTCATGTGCTCAGAGCAATCCTCACCAGAGGGTCTGAGAAGAAATGGTTTCATCTTCAATGAAGATTCCTGAGATTTACAAGGATTTTTCAGATTCTTCAACTTTGACTTTCTATTACTATATACTCACATATCTTTGAGATTTGAAAATCATCTTAGCTTATAGCTAAAGAGAAGAAGAATAGAAATATTTCTTTAATATTTCAAAAAAATCTATATTTAAGATAGATGTATACTCTTGAAAATGATCATATTTTTTAATCTCAGAATTTCTAAGAGCTTTTTTTTATATGAGGAATTGAATCAAAATTCCTGTGTTCAAAAACACACTGGTCAACTTTGAGATGATACTTCTATTCTAAGAACTTGAGATATGAATATAAAAATCAGATACATCATGAGAACATTGTTATTCTAAGGTTTCAAGATAATACAGAAATGATGAATCTATGAAGTTGAGTTGAAATTCTCTTTCATACTCAGAGTACTGAGCAAATTCTTTCTGTGTTATTAACAATCAGAAACTGTTTCTTCTCAGACACTTTACAAGATATCATCACTCACATGACCTGATTTTACTATTTGGGTTAGCTTATTGCTTATTTGAGGTTAGCTCATGACATAATCATCAATCCAGTGTTAAAACAGCAATAAATATCTGGAGAAGCGTCTGAGCTTGCTGAGATAAATTGCAACGAAGCTCGCGCGATACATGCCCTCCTCCTTTCTTCAATATTCCGTAACGCTGAAACCTGACTGCTGGCTCCTGTGAGATGACTCTATTACTGTGTTACTAACTGTGGCGAATTATTCAAACCTGGAAAATTATGGAACACGACAAGTCCACCCCCGCACAGACTGATATCAAGAAACAGAGCATTGCCCCGAAAATTTAAACTTAGTATATTAAAGATTGGCGGTTTATTTGCGTAGTAGCAATGCATGAGATTATAACGCTACAGCTTGGTCAGAGGAGTAATTACCTCGCGACCCATTTTTGGAACTTCCAGGTATTCTCGCTTGTCTTTTTCGTAATGAACTAATCCAAACTCACCTAGTCGTTAGGAATCGTACTTTACATACTCCGCGGATGAGGAATCCCCTGTTGATCATGACGTTCATTTCCGTCCGGGGATTGGTGCAGATGGGGCTGAAACCTTCACCCCTCGAACTGTAATCTATGATCTGAAAGGCGGCTTTGGCACGCTGCAGAAATATAATGCTCTTTATGGCTTGGAAGAAGATGCTGGATTGCCTAGGGGCTTATGGTGAGAGCGATCAATTCCCTTAACTGAACGGAAATGGCGGTTAACCACGGTCTCTCTTCGCTTTACAGGGATGGCAATAAGGTCGTGCATCGCCAGCCCGCCATTCCACAGACTGAGTACCAGAAAAATTTAGATGTTGGACTCCCGCTACCTCAACTTAGAGCTGAGTCAGTACGGTACTGGTCAGATTTTAATAAAGTGTACTATCATCCCAAGTCTATTGTTCAGTTAAATGAATATGAGCTCAATTCTCAGCTGATGCCCTTTGAGAACTGGGAAATTGGTGAAGATCTGTTCCGATCTCTAGATCGCGAGCACGATATTCTCGACAGGGACTTTCGGGCTTTCGCAGAGGAATGTGATCAGATGCAAGGTATCCAGATCTTCTCCGGAACTGATGATGCTTGGGGAGGCTTTGCCGCCAGATATGTGGACAGATTGAGAGATGAGTTTGGAAAGAAAAGTATATGGTTCTGGGGACTAGAAGACGGGTCAAGGGTTCAACGTGTATGCATCAATAAAACCATCACCTTGTATTCTTTGACGCGAGTCAATGAGCTAAGTATAAAAATCTATAGCAAAAGCAAACCGTATCCAACGCCAACTCGGCAAAGTCTGTCAATGAAATATCTCCGCAAACATCAGCCTATATCCCCATTTTGGACCCCCCTCAAAACATACCAGAATATGTGCACTCTGACCTGCGATCAGAGTGGTATTCCTCCGCCCTCGTTTCCACCGCTGTAGAGAGTGTTGGTTTACCTACACGCCTCCGATCTCACCGGGGGGCTAGTTTCTGGCTGCCAGCGCAAGAGCGTCCGCAAAAGATTTTCAGTCTCCAAGCCGCCATTCTCTCAGAACATCAACCAGAGTCCGACAAAACCCCTGACCAAGATCGTAAAACATTAATAGCGGAAGATGAGGTCGATGAAGACGAAATCCTTCTTAAAGGATTCGATCTTGATTTCTCTTGGTCTAGTTCCGCGCGTGCTAAAAAGCTGCACGTTTTTGGCCAAGTTCAAATCAGTCGTGGATTCGATGCGCAAACAAATCTTGCGTCAAAACCCCCAAGCCAGCCAAGTGTTATCCATTCGTTAAGATTGCCAGGAGCTCTACAGACGTCAGTACCATATATTGCTCCATATTGCTCCCGTTTCATTTTTCATTTTTTGCATTCGTCTATTCTTAATCAACCACGCCATGAGTCCTTCACATCATATGTCCTCATCCCCTCAACCGCACCCCCTTCTAGTTTATAATTTACATATAGCTAACGAAGAGGTGACTGCATTTACGTGTTCTAGATACCACACTCGCCTTACCCTCCCGCTCCTTGACAGTTTCCCCGGTGATCTATTTACAGGCAGAGGCGCTGCAAGCTCCGGGCTGAGCATCCGTGCGTCCCTCTCTACGACAACCGAAATTGGGGACAAAGTGAAGGATTTACAGAAGGTCGCGTCCAGGTTAATAGGGATCGATGAACGAGAAGCGTTGATCAATGGGCTAGGAGAGATTTCCGAGGCTTATCAGGGACGATGGGAAAGCGATTCTGATTCCGGAGATGATTACTGAACTGTTCTACTTTTATGCTTTGGCCACTTGGAAAATTGTTTCGTGCTCTTGCACATGGCTAGTTACTGCGGTTGTATAATTAAGTCGATTCCGGCAATCTATGACCTGCTTTTTGTCGCTAAGGTACTGGAACAATGCATTCCCCTGCCTAGGGGGGCCAGGTGGACATGGATAGAAAACAACACTTAGCCATCCAAACCCAGGATCTACTATTACTACATATACTGTACCGTACCTCATGCTCAACGTTGGGTTTGATGCAGATAAATATTGTTTAGGGTGCAGCGGCAAAAGAAGCACATAGGGGACGACATAGTTTGCAGGGTTTCGATAAGCTCTAAAGTAATTCATACGTTGGAGCTAGGTCGTAGGTCTTTCTGGCCACCGATTTTAACTACATACTCGCTGGTCTGCCATTTGCATTCTGGCCCTTAATCAGCCGCCCTTTGCCTCCCTTTGTTCTGCCATACTCTGTATATGTAGTTAGTGGTGCATATAACTTAATAATTCAATCTCCAAACCAAGTTAATATGTAAAACATGTCCGATTACCACCCACGATTCGTATGTAGGCATTTATGGAACGGAATTTTTTTGGTTAGTGCTGGCTGGGCCATCAGCCCTTCCTCATCCGGTTGTTGATCCCTTCGTGTGAATCCATGAACCCATGAACCCTACCTAGTATGTCATATCATAAATAAGTAAAATCAGAGTTCATGTTTCGAGACTCCTCCCTCTCTCGTTAAACTTACTAAATATAACTTTTATATATTTGTGAAAAGCAAGTAGCATCTGAGAAGTAATTTCGCCAAAAATTGGAAACAGGGAATGGTAGAACGAGAACGTCACTGCGTACGGAGTACCTAGGTAGAGTGGAAGGTGTAAAGCTTGCTTGATTGAAAAGGTTGCTAGCTTGTAGGAAGTTATATGGTGGAAGGATTAATAAGCCAGGACATGTGACCTGACAGGTAGTCGATATGATCATTGTGCAGGGCAAATTAGAACAAATGATCTCAATCTTTCGGCAACAACTATTCGGATTTATGTTGCTGTGCATATGCTACGGTCTTGAATTGGGGGCTTGCACGTGGGTGTCCAAATAAGCTAGTGGGGCAATCGCGCTAGTCCGCCCCACATCCTCGTTACCAGCCGTGAGCTACCAGACAGCTTAGAGAACTAAGGGCCTGTTCGGTGCGGCCGTGTGTACTCGTTCTTTTTGTACGGATCTCCACTTTTTTTTAAAAAAGTACAGCCCCAATATCATGACTGTTCAGTGGACAGAGTGTCTGTACTAATATTACAGCTGCTTTTTACAAAGTACAGATGAAAAAGGCCAGGTGTTTGGTGGATTGAGCGGCCGTACTTGCATCTTTTGCCAAGATCTTATGAATAAGCAGTATTTAACTTCGCTCACAAATCTGGAGTCCGTTCAAAAAGAACGCGTTTTTGTGAGCTTCATTCTCCATCCCCCCAGAGCAGCAGGCAAGGTGGAATAGTGTGGTGGCACAACGCCAGCTTGCTACTAATAATTGGTAAATACACTATTTTTAATGAGATCCACTATTGCGTTCAAAAAGTACGGACGCACCGAACAGGCCCTAAAAGGCGCAGAGTACTGAGCGTGGCTTGGTAGGCAAAGTATGGACCAATTCAGCTCGATTTCTTACTCAATAATTCGATTTTCTATTTTAAATGAATAAAATAACAGATGGAAAATCAATCTTTAAAACTTTTAATCGCCAGAAATAGTTTGATTAAATACGATTGTTACTCACTTGATTATAAAGGAATTGATGGGCTCTAATTAAAAAGTTTGCTATAACTATACTTACATAAAAGTGAAATGCTTCACTCATACTATTATTCTTAACTTCAGGTTTGTCTCACCACGACACAGAACAGAGGGAAATGTGCGAGATGTTGGATTGGGAGGTCTGAATTTGTGACAGGGTTTAGATATATTTGGACTCCGCTACCTGCAATCCTGACGGATCTGATTTCAAATTGGTCCGACCTGTGGCATCTGCTGATATAATCTCGGGTGCAGTCTCGGGTGCAGTCTCGCTGGAGATCTGCTGACGCCTACTATACCCCCTTGCTTCCCACTCATCCATGACATTATCCCAGATGTCGTTCTCCATACCGATATCGCTATCCTCACTAGACTCCGCAAGATCATTATCCTCTCCCAATGCATCTAATGCTGATCTTCCTTTTTTGGATGTCGCGCTCTTGAGACCCCCGCCACTGTAGCTGGCCCTAAGCTGTGCCCCGCTTAGGAATTCTGCCTTCCATTCCAACTCAACATCCTCGACACCAGTCGACGCTTGGAGGCGAACAACGTGGCGAGAGTCGCCGGCTGTAACAAAGGGCTTCACAAAAAGAAGAATGGCCCAAGCGAACCGAGCAAAGAGATAAGGACGGGATTTGCTATCAAGGTATTGGACTATGGTGTTGTGATACGTTGGCCAGTATTCAGCAGCAGCTGTGGAAAGTATGTGTGATACGTAGTGTGCTGAACGAGTACCGGTCACCACCTCAGGCGCATCCCTCCCCCCGGCAACCTTTGGGACGATAACGAACCACCGATTGTCGAAGCATTTATGAATATCCGGTCTAAGCGAAACGAGGTTTGCCGAATCATCAATATCTCCTAGGTTTGTACAATATTGGCTCATCCCGTTTCTATAGTACCAGAGCAGTTCTTCCTTTGGCACAAGGTGTGCCTCTTCAGTGCATGTCGAGAAGTTGGTGATACCACAGCGAGATATACGGGGTTCAGGAAATACGGAAGGGGGTCCCCAAGCATCCGGGATGCAGTCGTGCGGGAACTCCCAGTCCTGAAAACTGGGGACAATAGGGTATTTGCCTAGTAGAAACGAATCAGAACAGCCACGAGAAATACGGAGGTGTTTGCATACTTGCGCCAGCGTCAACCAGAAAGTAATAAGTTGGGTCAGTCAGCACCCCATCAAGCGGTACATTTACAGGCTGTCGACCGTCTTTATCATGACAAAGGCGGCCAGTTTTAAATGCGTTGTTTCCGATGATCTGGCAGGCGATCAACGCGGTTTGATGGTGAACGCCAAAGGTGTGAGGACCTGCTTCTTGATCAACACGCGGGAGGTACAGTAGAACATTGCGGGGCTCTTGATAGCCAGGATGCAAGAAATTGATGCTTCCTCGTAATGCTAATTCTGCATGAGGGATCGGGTGCGGATGGAACTCGGACAGACTTCCATTAGCCATTTTGAAGGATCCGAAATCCTATCGACGGCGCCTATAGTAGAAAGAATAGTAGCCTTGAGGTGTGATAGGATGCGGAAGATGATATGATGGGGAACTCTGTTAGTAGGCGGGCACCCAGTTGCTTGATGAGAAGAGCTTAATTATAGGCAGGTGAAGCTTCAACACGACGTCACAAAGAGGTGGTTCATTGAGGAAGTGGCGGCTCTTAAAAGTAACACACCTCTAAGACTAACAGAAATGCTGTATTATTCCGTATTTAGCATTTACTATTATCATTGTAGCAGAAAAGACTACTTATCTCTCGGGTTTAAATCTGATGGTAAAAATATCAAGGATAACAACAACATTGAAACAGATAATGATTCCTCTTTCTCGTTTGCCTTTCACTTCACCAGTTGTGTAGGATCGGCTTTAGGCACTCCTTGATCTTTTCTGGCGATGATGGCTTTTCTTTTTAACTACAAAAGCGATGATAAATCCAGTTGCTTCCTTTGAGGAGGCATCACCTGGAACTACTAGGACATACATGACGACTTTCTCGAGATGAATTCTGAAGCCCCCATGTCAGCTCTAAGTCCAAATTGATGTCCCTTCTATGCACGCACCTTTCTCTGCCTTCCTTGTCTCTTGTCTTTCTTTTGGCATTTGACGGCAACATTCTCATAGATAGCCGGAGTGGAGGTAGTTAGTTACCAAGGTGTTTGGGAATCATTCAAGAGGTCCGATAGCTAGTCTTCTCTGCTCTGTTCCATTCGTCAACTTTAATCATTATTACTAGAAGATATCAGGTAGCTTCAACCCCGTAGGTCCCCAGAAAGTGACAAGCTGATACCTAGGCGGACTGAGACGTTTATCTCGTCTGGGTATGTACGAAGATGTTGAATATCTTCAAGGTCAGTTTCAATTGGAACGGGCCATGAAAGCAACCATTTTTTGCCTCGGAGCAGTCAGAGTATGTTGATGGCTCATTGATCCCGGCCCAGAACTGGTTTGGACAGACACTTATAACTTTGTTCTGGTAGCATTTGAGTGTGTTAGAAACCAGTGGTGGAAATAGTGGAGGTTGGACGAAAGCAGGCTCTGCTTTGTTGCCTGCTTGTGCGGGGGCATGCAGCCTATTATTGGTCGTCGATTATTTAGGGAAGCCAGGAGAGATTTGATACATAAATAGACCTAAAAACAAAACCCCGCTAATACATAGACTACCTTCTGAGGCTATTCTAAGCAGAAAGTTCTAACTATAAGCTATCTTCAATTGCAGCTCCTGCTCACCCCGCCCCCTTTACCCCACCCCCCTTGCCCCTCCTACGCCATATTATTATTATTATTATTATTGTCATTATCATTATCATTATTATTGTAGCTCCATACAAGTCCCATCTACAGAGTACTCCGATATCCCTGGTAGTACACAATGACCAACCCCCCCCGCTATCCAGAGGAGTGTCTGGAGAAAAGTCACCAGAGAGCAGAGGACCTTCGAAAGGAGCTTGAACACTCTCGGGACAGGGAGAACAACGTCACCCCTTCGTTCCTTTCACGTTTGAGTCAGTGCTATCTCAACCCACCAGAGAACCAGAGACACTATCGACCGCACATCCTTCTCGTCTCCCAAGTTACGAAGCCCGATTCCTTCCACTACTTTGTCCGTCTCCCACGGGAACTGCGTGATCTTATTTACTTCTATGCCCTCCGCCCACCGTCAAACAGAGAACTGATCGTGAAGACAACTATTGAGAGCATATCTTATAAACGGATCTGGGGGAATGAGATCCCGCTTGTTCCCCTGGGGTACGGAAATCCAGATTCATGGTCTGGCAGGAAGGAAATGACCTCGTTGATGAGGGTCAACCGGCAACTCTATAGAGAAGCTTCGGAAGTCCTGTTTTCCGATTTTCGGTTTTCCATCCACGCCCGAGTCCTCAGGATACCTGGTTGTAACTTCGTGCATAGGTTGCAGGAAACCGTGGCGTCCAAGATTCACAAACTCGGGCTGAAATTGGAGGTCTTCTGGAATTCCAAAGGGGTTCCTGTCTTGGATCTCTACTCTTACGACAGCCTAAGCATATTTTCTGCAGTACAAAGTGTCGACTTCCATTTTACATTTAATGGCAACGAAGCCAAATTTCCGAAGGGCTATGGCCCCCTATGGCCGATCGAGCGTATGAAGCTAATGTTTGAGAAGTTTCACCATGTTCAAATATCGTTCAGTTGGTCATCTGACCTGTCGGTCAAGCCTCAGTACGTAAAGAAAGCATGCAAAATTATTCAATCAATGATCGATAAATTCGGTAGGTTAGAGAAAAGCCCTTTTTCTCCTTTCTACTGGAATCGTTGAAATGCGAACATTGTTGCTAACAATTTCACTGGGTACGGTCGATAGAGAATTAAGGAAAGACCGTTCCCGTTGTGAATACCTCATCCACCGGGCTTCTATATCCATCTACGAAACAGGGATATGTAGAACTATACATACCAAGCCTTGATCATCCATTTAGCCGATACTCTATAATGCTTCGGGCGAAAATCAATGTGGCCACATTCAGATTGGCTATATGGTTTACGAATGCTTCTCTTCATCCCCGATACTCTCGCGTTCCCAGGGGCGTTACCGTTCAACTTCGAGATGCAGCAAGTAAATGAAGTGGGCTGAAGAATTCCAAACCCTGATGGAACCTTAACATTGCAACTACTAGCTACCGAAGAAATACGTCGGAATTACACCTCAGCTGTCTCCAGATCTGCGCCTACAACAATCGCGTTGCGCTTCCATACTTGGCTCAGCGTCTACCGTTTGTTTTAACAAACATGTTCTGCCACTATATGTCAGCGTGCTTAAGAAAGGATTTCCTACCCCTTGAGCATGATAGCGAGATGTATGAAAAGTCACCCATGGCTTTCATTCTCAAACACGAGCAGGTTACGGATAAGACCACACGGCCACAACCGCGCACACCGCGGTTTATTTTGGTGTTGCAGTGATTCCTTAGTGAATTTCAATATCACTATTCAGGAAGTCTGATGGCATAGAACAGAGAGGTCAGATCTATTAAAGGGACAATCACGAGGAAGAAAAATAATGTTTTGTTACCAGTTGTGGGTGAAAGGTATAACTATACTGTCATAATATATATACTTTCTAGTGGCTGAATTATGTTGCCTTTGAAGAGGAAATGGATTGCAGAACTTTCATCTGCTGAGCCACAAGAATTTGGAGGAAACAGTTCAGATAAAATATTTCTATTTACCAGGAGAAATGAATCTGTCGTTATTCCAAGCTCCTGGTGATAAGATCATGTGATCCATTATCGCGCCCTGATTAATTATTACTAGCGTATTATAAACAGGAATTAATTGGATCGAACTGGTCGTAATTTAAAATATTTCAATACAAATGCCGTATTTTTTTTAAACCACTCTCCAAAAAGCGTCGAAATATGGAACTCCAAAAAGAAAAAGGAGGAAATGGCACCGTAAGACCGTGTGGTCAATATCGAATGAACCATCCGGCTTCTCACCTCTGAGGGCATGAAGCCGCCCTTCCAGAAGCTCTACAGCTTCAGACGACACTCAGCAGGCAATGAATGCTACCACCCTAGGACCAATATTTTACCTCCGATCACCGTGTTCGAACGCAATTGTCCTCGCAAGACCAAAGAGATCATTCTCATCCTCCATCCGCAGTTCCAACAAGATGACCATTCCGGACAACTCCGTCGCAGCAGCGATCATAAAACCTCCCCACGAAAATCAACCCGACTACTCCACCTGGAGCCAATCGAGTCTCATATCCCGCATCGCAGAGCTGGAACGCCAGCTAAATTCCCAAAACCACAGCAACAGCACCAGCGATGATCGCACGGGTGCAGATGCAGTAGCCAACAGAGGACGTCCAAGTAACAAGCCCGCAGACGTGCCCGCAGTTCTCCGCTCCCCATCTTCATCATCCTCATCGTCCTCCTCCTCCGCCTCACGTCGCTCCACTAAGAAATCCCGCGACATTGACCCCTCAAAATATAACATGCGCTTTATCGCGCTGAAATTCGCCTATCTGGGTCAAAGATACAATGGCTACGAACACGCTAATGGCAATACCACGCCTCTGCCGACTATTGAGGAGGAGTTATGGAAGGCGCTGAGGAAGGCGCGGTTGATATTTCCGCAGGCGGTGGAGGGGGAAGGGGTTGGGAGTGAGGATGATATGGGAGGTGTGAATGCGGAACAGGACAGGGGAGATGGACGAGCATATAAGATTGATTGGACTGGCTGTCAGTATTCGAAGTGTGGGAGGACGGATAGAGGGGTTAGTGCGTTTGGGCAGGTTGTTGGGATTAGAGTGCGGAGTGCGCGGCCGAAGAAGAGGGTCGAGGTGAAAAGTGACGGTACTGGTACTGATGTCGGCGCAGTAGTAACTAATGCAGAGGTTTCCGCTGGTGCTTCTACTAATGTCTACGATAGCGGGGTGGAAAGTCCCCTCGGTGGATTATCATTTTCTGGCTCAGAAAATTCTGATACCGAAGACGACTGGGACGACATTGCAGATGAGTTGCCTTATATAACTATTCTGAACAGAGTGTTACCAGAGGATATCCGCGTGTTAGCATGGTGTCCGAACCCGCCCCCGGATTTTGATGCCAGATTCTCCTGCCGCGAACGCCGATATCGTTACTTTTTTACACAGCCAGCGTTCTCTCCAACGCCGGGTCCCCTAGGCTTCCTGAAACGAGGACGGCAGGAGCAAGGTTCAGAGCGGAGCCCCAATGGAGCGCACACTGAGCAACCTAGAGAAGGATGGTTGGATATCGAAGCGATGCGTGAAGGCGCGAAATATCTGATTGGATCCCACGACTTCCGAAATTTTTGCAAAGTAGACCCGAGCAAGCAGATAACAAACCATGTGCGGCATATCTATCATGCCGATATCGAGCTGCTCGACCCCAAAACAAAACCTTTGTCATATTTGGGACAGCCCGGATTCCGTCCCTTGAAATCCGAGCATGATAGAACAACGGCAAATGAGTCGACATGGGACACATCGACGTCCAATATTAAAATATATACCATCACGATTCACGGATCTGCTTTCCTCTGGCATCAGGTCCGACACCTAGCCGCGATACTGTTCTTGGTAGGCCAGGGACTTGAGCCTCCGTCGATCATACCAGAGCTACTGGACGTAGAGAGGAATCCTCGTCGGCCCACGTATGAGATCGCATCGGACGCACCGCTGGTTCTCTGGGATTGCGTATTCCCCGATGAAAGCAGTGGGAGCAGAGAAGATGCGATGAATTGGGTCTATGCGGGCGATTCACGGACAGCAAAAGTTGGAAAGGGGGATAACAACAAATTTGGCCAAGGGAGTATGGTTGATACGCTCTGGAGGGTGTGGAGACAGCGGAAGATAGATGAGATATTGGCGGGTGAGCTTCTCGATCTTGCTGTGAGCCAAGGTGACAAGAGCGCGCTTACTCGGGGCAGGTTTAAGAACTCTACCCCAGACCTGGAAAATAGAAGTCAGAAGGTGTTTTATGGAGGTAATGAAGGGAAATTTGGTGGGAAATATGTGCCCCTGATGCAAAGGCGCAGGCTTGACCCAGTGGAGGTGATCAACGCGAGATACACAAAACGACCAGGGAAGAAAACTATTGCACAGGTCAAAGGACAGGATATCTCTAACGTCGATCCTTAGCGTAGAATCCACTCACATTTTATTCCCACTTAGATTATTAATGCCCTTGGATTGGTGTCTCTTTGTGAGTGTCGAGCTCCCACGCGTCAACAAACTGTGGACAAAACTGTAGAATGACTGAGAACGAGTCAGGTGTCAATTTGGATCGTAAAGGCATTTACGGGCTCCTTTCCAGACATCTTCAAGAACAGATCGTCGGGGCAGTAGATTCTGTTGATCTCTAGCATTAAACGCAGTCCCCCGAATTGACGAGACAATTAGTATGCAGAATATGTATGATGGCTTACCGGGAACACCACAACTACGTTTGACTCCCCTTCCACAATGATGGCGAGGTAGAACTTCACTTCAAAACCCTTGAATGCCTCATGGATCACAATATCCTGTATTTGTGTAGTAGGAATAAATCGTGTCGAGGCGGTTGAGAGGTAAGTTGCGGAGGAGGTTGAGGTTTGAACTCCGAGCCCGCGAATGACTAGCAGTGATTCCTCTGGACCATAGATGTAAGTTAGCCATTGGAGCAAATACGCAGCCTTGATTTCATGCCATAAACCTAAAATGTAGTAGAAATTTAGAGAGAAGGAAATGAGAAGAAACCAACCAGTATACCCCCTGCGAAAAATGATGTACACAAGCATCGCGCTCACAGGACAGACAAGCTGCCATTGCTGCCGATCCGCAATACGACAGGCGAGAGCTCCAATACTACTCGACCACACGGCTTCCCAGCGCACAATCCCATCATCGAAAGTTAATATGTAATCGCGAATTAACGCTCCGTTGACGAGCAGCACGAATGTGAAAAGGAGGACCCGGAGTAGAACTTCGAGGGCGAAGAGGGCCTTTGAGGTGATCGTGGAGCGGACGGAGACATTGGAGACGGTGAAGAGGGCCGTCGTTGGCGAGGGACGCTCTATAGAGAGGCGGGCGGGCATCGAGCAGGCTTATGATACTCTAGAAGTGTAGATGTGGATGTGGTTCTATCCATGAATCTATCCATCAAGATTCGCGCTGGTTTGAAAGTTTCGGGCGAGAGCTTCCAAGGAGCTCCAGATCACGTGACATTAGGCGTGTCCCGACCGACCAAGGCTTCTATTCAGCGCGTCCCGAAAACAAACAAGCAATGTTTTCTTCAACACTCCCGGAATGACCTGCCTTGTCCTATGATTTGCTGAGACCTAGACACGTTCACAAGGCGATTCTCTGTTTGCAAAATCACCACCCATTTTTACAGAACACACGTTTGAGATCCCAATCCACCGCTGCTTTCCCCCCTCTTACCCTTCTCAGCTCTCTTATTGATGGTCTTTGGTATTGTCTATCTATTTTTGTCTACATTATTAACCCCATAATCCTGATTTAAAACATGCCTCGTTCGTATTCAAGATCACCATCGCCATGGCAAGAAGATAGGAGGCGAAGCAGATCCCCGCGACGGAGAGACGACGGAGACGGAGACGGAGATCGAGATAGGCCTAGGCGTCGCGAAGGCGGATTTCGCTGGAAGCAAAAGCGTCGGACAGATGATGACAGGCGGGTAGACGAGCAAAGGGGTTTAGAACGGGGATACAGAGACACAGAAAGGGGAAATGAAAGAGAGAGAGAAAGAGAAGGAGGAGGAGACCGCACCAGATCACCTACTCGAGGTGGCAGACGGGATAGAAACAGAGATTTCGACCCGGACGGGGACAGGAGAAGATATGACGGTAACAACAGCTACAGGGATAGTAGATACAGGGCAACTGATACTACTACTGCACCAGCGAGTAGTACTGGCGACAGACGCGAGGAACAGGATGGAAAGGGAAAGAAGAGGGAGAAAAGGGAGAAAGACAAGAAGGCTGCAGCTGTTTCGGCGCCGACGGAACCTATGATAATTGTCAACGTGAATGACAGATTGGGCACGAAAGCAGCTATTCCGTGTCTTGCATCAGATCCAATCCGTAAGCCGCGTTCCCCCATTTGCAATTCGGATTGGGCCGTGGGGTGCGGTGGGGTGTGGGATGATGGAGGGGGATGATTCATTTTCGAATGCCGGATTTGTTCGGTGTTTTCCATTTTTTCCCTTACTTTTTTTATTTCGTTTTAACTAACTATCTGTTCTTTTTTTCGTTTTTACATATATAGGACTGTTTAAAGCTCAGGTTGCCGCACGCATCGGACGAGAACCCCATGAAATCCTCCTTAAAAGACAAGGCGAAAGACCCTTCAAGGATCAGCTTACATTGGAGGACTACGGGGTCGGCAACGGGGTGCAGCTTGACTTGTAAGTTTTATTTTTATTTGTCCTTCGATGTTTGCTTCTGCTTTTGTCCCGCAAGCACGTGGGACAGCTGTGCTGCCTTGGCTTGACGACGTATAACTGACAATATTTTCTGAAATAGGGAAGTGGACACGGGAGATTAGCATTTCATGATGATTGCATTCTGTTCTGCGCAGCGCGTAGGCTTTTTGTATATTAGATTTTCCCCTACGGGCTCGTTTGGACCTAATGGAGACCTTGGATGCGGGAAATTCGCCTATTCGAGTTGGGCCCAGTAACAAACAAGGCCAATCTGAAACCATGATGATTGATTGCTGTTGCTTTCTGACCAGATATGATCAATGTCCTTTGACCTCTGGTGACACTCGAGGGTATACCCGCCCCCCCTCCTTCTCTGAGAACCATGACACTGGTTTCATGTATCTAACCGGGAGGAGGAGAGGATACCACCTATGGACATGCCTACACTGGTTAGGTAACTTGATACGAAACAGATAGAGGCGAGAGGGGGAATATACGCCGTTCAGGCAAATATGATCACGATCTGTTGCTGCTCTCTCTCTAGGTATCAGCTTTACCTGTTTGCTTCCGATCTCTGGTAAACGAGGGTTTGTTCTGGAGAGTACAGCATTTGTGTCTCTAGCCTGTTTTTTGTTTGCCATACCACTAGGGTGTGGTGGTTCATTCCTCTGTGTGTATGTGATTAATATCACTACGTCTTCCATGTCACTTTTTTCACTTGTCTCACTTTTCTCTCTCCCTTGTATTCGGCACTTTTTCATCTCTCTTGGATCTCAGCCAGCTAGGGAAGTGCGGGGGAAACCGGTGCTTACCTCAGCGACCACTGCGGGGCCCGGCCAGATCCCGTGACCTGAGTTTTTGCCGACCGAACTTTTGGATTTTTTTTTAAGAAAGATTTACTTTTTTCGGATTTTTGGATTTTTCGTGCTTTTGGTGTCATTGATTGAGCCCAGCAACCTTGGTTCCATCCAGCCGCCGTGGTTGGAGCAGGAGATCCACCCAGCCAACCGATTTGGGTCATTTTTTCCTTCAAGTCTCCCCGACTCTTCGAAATCTCTCTCCGTCTATCTCTCCCGTCAAATGTGCTAAAACTTCTCATCATGCCCTCTTGATCCTTTCTCGCTGCCTGTCCACCATGAATTAGTTCGTCCTGCTCGCCTCCTAGCCCTTGCTTGTCCCGAAGGTCGGCCCCTTCCCCATTATCAGCCATTGAAGGATCGGCTAGCAGAAAATATCGTCTTCACCTTCAGGCTGTTTTGTGTCGGTTCACATATAAACAACCATTTTCCTCCTACCCGGCCGCCCCACGACCCTCACTTCTATTCGCCCTCTTTTTAATTGATCATATATCGATTTCTCACTCCTTCTCTCGATGGTAACCGATAATCGTGGCATCCAACATGGTTAGGAATATTATTGTGCTCGGAGGCTCGTCCCATCCACATCTTAATAAGACGATATGTGAGCACCTCGGCATTCCGATGGCCAATGTGCTGCTGTCGAAATTCTCCGTCGGCGAAACTCGAGTGGAAATCAACGAGTCTGTACGTGGCAAGGATGTGTATATTATTCAGTCAGGTGGAGGCAAGGTCAACGACCACTTGATGGAGCTCCTAGTCATCATTTCAGCTTGCAAAACTGCTTCCGCAAAAAGAGTTACAGCTGTTCTCCCTCTGTTTCCTTACTCCCGTCAGAGCGATATCCCCTACAACAAGACTGGTGCTCCCCTCGTCAAGTCTTCCATCCCCAGATCCGATACCACTCCTAATTACACATTCGAGAGCACGCCACCGACCCCGCATGCTGGAAAATCCGAAAGCATGGGCCTGGTAAATGGCATCGATGGTTTACAAAGGGGACTCACCCAGGTCCAGATTGAGCAGCATGAAATGTCTTCCAGCGGTAGCCCTCAGAAGGCCCGTTTTGGCCATTACGCCAACGGGCCGCTAAAGCGCAGCGACACAACGGACTCCACCAAGTCGGATACGAGCAATCGAAATCGGAATTCTACTATTATACCTCCAACCAACGGCATTGTGAACAACGATGAGATCGCGAGTGTAGCGTCGAATTCGTCGAAACTTAGCGCTTTCCACCCACGTCCCGGATACCGACAGTGGGTTGCCCAGGCGGGCACCCTCGTGGCGGACCTCCTCACATGTGCTGGCGCAGATCACATTATCACTATGGACTTGCATGATCCCCAGTACCAAGGGTTCTTTGATATCCCGGTTGATAATCTTTACGGTCGACCATTGTTAAAGAAATATATCACGGAGAATATCCCGAATTACAAGTCAAGCATTATCGTCAGCCCTGACGCTGGAGGAGCGAAACGGGCCACCGCGATAGCTGACTCGCTTGGAATGGACTTTGCATTGATTCATAAGGTATATCCAGATTAATATATATATATTTTCCCAGCGTTTTGCTTTTATTTTCCTCTTCATTCCTTCCTTTGGACGAACGTTGTTGATACAGACTAACAATTTCACCTGTCTACTCCCCTCTGGATACGAACAGGAACGTCGCCCAACCAGAATCACAGACCGCCAGAACGCAACCATGATGCTAGTGGGTGATGTCAAAGATCGAACTGCCATCCTGATTGACGATCTTGCGGATACTTCTAATACTATCACGCGGGCCGCAAAACTTCTGAAGAAAGAAGGCGCTTCGCGGGTATATGCGCTTGTCACACACGGAATCCTTAGCGGAGACGCTATTGAGCGAATCAATGCTAGCGCACTGGATAAGGTGGTCGTTACAAACAGTGTGGCGCAAGACGAACACCGAATTCGTTGCCCAAAATTGGAAGTACTCGAGGTTGGCCATGTATTTGCTGAGGTGCGTTCTGGCTCTTTCCAACTCTTACTTTGACTTTTAGCAATTGCGTTTTTTAACAAGGACTTTTTTCTCATTTGCTATAGGCTATACGTCGTGTCCACCACGGGGAAAGTATCAGTGTTCTCTTCCAATACGACTGACCCAGATAAACTCAATTATTCTTCCGTTTCTTTTGGGGTTGTTATCCTCCCCCATTTTGCTTGCCATTGCTCTTTCCCCTCGAGTAGGAGAAAAAGAAACTATCATCTATTTTCTTTTCTTTCTATTTCGCCCCCTGCACATATCACCATGAGATAATTAATCATTTGATGGAACTTATAATAGAGTCCTAAAAGCACAAAAACAAACCCAAAACCTAAAGCACTAAAACACGCCCCAATGCCCTCCTAAACCTCCTGTGTTTTCGGTGCTTGATTTGCATCAAAACTAGGTGGGTAATGGGAAGTCAACTGCCACACAGGCCAATTTTCATCGCCGGAATATATCTATATATATTTCTCAGGCTGGCAAAGCCATGTCCCTATCCCGATCCTTTCTGCTCAAATGGCTCACAGCACCGAAGGATTAATTCATTCATTGGCTAACATACGCACGACTGATTGATTGATCGATTAATTGACTAACTGGCTTATTGATTCTTGATTCCACTGCCCACTGATTGATGATGATGCACATCCTTTCGTTTTCTCCTGCACAACGCAAAAAAAAATTAAAAAAAAATAAAAAAAAATAAAAAAAATAAAAAAAATAAAAAAAAGAGGCAACTAAAATTTACTTCAATTCTTTCTTCTTTCTTACTTCCCATTCCCCCCCCCATCTTGCCGCTTTTCTATCTTATCTTATCTACAAATGCCCATATTGCCCATTTTATAACAATTGATATTAATAGAGTGGTGAGGTATCGTGTCGGGTAGTTTGAAATTCCTCATACCAAGTGCTGGATATTGGGGTCTACATCCATTGTTTCAATCGATCATTCGAGTTCTGAATTTTCCGAATAGCCTTTTTTCCTATCTGTACATCTGGGTACATACATTGATTTTTATCTCGCCTGTCAAGTTCATCTCTTTCTTATTTCTAAATTCTTTTTCCCCTTACTGTGTGTTGATGTTCTCATTGCTCTTCTTTCATTCTACACTCATTCCTTTTTTTTCTGATCTTTCGGATCTTTCGGATCTTAACTAAAAACACGCATTGAGTATTTTATTGCCACTCCAACATTTGCTTTAATTGAGAGTTAATTCAAAATCATGATTAATTCTGCTTAAATAAAATCTGAAGTAGTCATATTCAATTTTCATCTGAAATATAAAAGAAAATAACATCTTTCTATATTTTACAGAGCTTACTTTTCATTTTGACTGTATTTTAATATTTGATAATGGGAGTTTTATTCAATCTACAAAGACTGAAATGGAGCTCTGCAGTGGAGCAAGAAAATAAAGAGAGTGAATGAAGATGAACATGCACATGATTCCGCCTGCGGCAATAGTGCAGATAGTTGAAACGCTTGCTGAGGGAAATAGACGGGTGTAGTAGAGGTGTCACGGCTAGCTGCTAGAGAGCTGGAATAAGGTACCCAATGGGAATATATACATCATATATGACCTCCCATGGAGACTTCATCACCTGGGAGCTTGCACTAAATACAACGAACTCTGGCAGGTTTGGTAAACCAACCGTTGCCTGTATTGGAAATCAATCCAATTTTCAGCTGAACTCAACTTTCAAACACTATGTCAAGGTAAATTGGTCAAGGGGAAAATTATCATCGTTCGTTCTTGAAAGGAAGCATTACACCAAACCGTGATGTAGTATCCCCCCTTTCACCTCTCAAACTAATCCATCATCAGTAAACTCCCTCCACAGAAACAACCTTATCCTCGTGCTGGGCATGGAGGAAAATGGTGTACAGCCGAGCCACAAGTCTCCCACATGTTTCTTTATATTCTCTGGACGTACAGGATAATAAGGCCTCTCTAACTATATACCATTGGTGGGAACCGCTTTTTAAACTGTATATCCCCAGAAGGTTTAATCCAAAGCAACCAGGGAAACATAGTACACTAGAGACCATATTCATTCTCCTCATATTTCCAGACTCTGCGACAGGAACAGCGGTCAACAGTCTCCTAGTTCTTTGATCAGAATAATGCTGGAAAGGAGCTGATTGTGAAATACTGACGCATTGGACAGTACGACTGATTCAGTACTGAGAGTGCTGAGAACTTGGAGGAGAAACGCCTGCACAAACAGGACATAACCCAGGAAGGTCCTGGTCTTGAATATCAAGAACTCTTGGAAGATCTCTAAGATATCCGCTCGGGGGAACACATAGCGTCTGGTTTGGACGGGCGAATGCTGCGTTGCATCGCTGGTAATCATAGGCATAGAGGTGGTCGCAAGCCTGGTAATGGTGACACCGTTGATCACACATATTCGAGGCTAGATAAAGGATCACTTTTGTAGTGCCAGGTATTAACTGAGGCAGGCCTATATTAAGGTTTATATCTAAGTATCTATAAATCAGCACTGAAGAAGTCTGAGAGAATATTTCTCTTCTCTTTTCTTCTTCAGGGATTAATTCTATTTATATCTACAATACTCCGTATATCTTTACTTGGTAACTACCACCTCTACCACCACCACCGCCTCTAACGCCCCGCAGCCCCCCCCCCCTATCACTTCCACCTCATCTTACCACTCACTATCTTACCACCCCTACCCTACCACCCCTACCACCTCTACTCTCTCTACCACCATCACTGCCTCTACCACCCCACAGCACTCTCTATCACTTTCACTCTCTATCTCTACTCTCATCTTACCATTCTACTTCTCTCTTATCATCTCTATCACCCCTCTCTATCACCTTTTCCACCCTCTAACCTCTCTATTATCATCATTATCTCTACTACTCTACAGTCTCTTCTATCACTTTCACTATCTCTACTCCTCTCTTACTATCTCTACCACATTTTGATCTCTGTGTTTATAGTATATACTGCTAAATACTCTGTAATAAAATCTCATGTGATGTCATGTGCATCTCTTTGAATTCATGAATGTGTAGGCTACTGGGGCAAAAGAGCTCAGTCACCACCAGCGCACTGCTGGTAGAAGGGCCGATCAACCCGGGACCCCCAACAGAATGAGATTCTTTTGAATAGCTGACTCTGCAGTCTGTACAGCTCTGATTAATCTGATAATGGTGATAGAGGTGATACAGAGTGGAAGAGAGTAGTAGAAGGAGTAGAGGTGATGGTGGTGGTAGAGGGGGTAGAGAGTGGAAGGAGTGGAAGAGGTGGTAAGGGTGGGTAGAGGTAGAAGAGAGTGGAAGTGATAGGGAGGGTTGCCGGGCGGTAGAGGCGGTGGTGGTGGTAGAGGGGGTAGGGGTGGTAAGGGGGGGGTAGAGGTAGGGGAGTGGAAGTGGTAGGGGGTGGAAGTGGTAGGGGCAGCTGCGGGGCGGTAGAGGCGGTGGTGGTGGTAGAGGAGGTAGGGAGTGGAAGGGGTGGAAGGGGTGGTAAGAGGGGGGGTAGGGGTAGATCTGCGCAAGCAGCAAAGCGAGCGTAAGCGAGCATTTGATGCTTGTGTGGAATTAAGCCTTTACACTGAAAAGAGCCATTTGACACATTTGTCAATATAGACTCCCGTACTAGCTTTCACCACTGAAAAGGCTGAATGAATTTATCCGTTCTCCATCCATACCTTACACCGTAGCCAATCGAGCAGCTACTATGCCGGAGACATCTGGAGAATCAGCAGTAGATGCTGTGCCAACTTTCGAAAGCTTTCCCAAACATCCCAAGCGCGTCATTTTACGACTTCGTGTGAACGAATTCGATGGTCGTAACCCAACAGAGTTTGACCATGCTATCATGGCATATCTAGCATCTGCTGGACGCCCTGTCGATGAACTCACGCAAAGAATCCATCACTCGCATATCGAACCTTTCCAACCCCCAGAGATGAAGCAGAGGTCATTTCATATAGTTCTGGATATTGAAAAAGATATGCTCAGTGATCCAGACTTTGAGAGAGTAGAGCACGAAGTTCACCGTGTTCACCGAGCTAAGAATGGTACATTGTATGGATATCACGCCCTAATTTGAGAAATTCAACTAAATCTCTGAACAGTAAAGTCAATCGCATTTCGAATCCAGCCGAAGAGCAGAACTTTGTGCGACAGATGCGACTTTTCACGGACACTTTCTATCCGTGGGCAAAATAATGACGCTCATCCCGGACCCATGAGGGCTCCAGGGCGAATTTGTAGCCGTCATGCCTGTTTTTTCTATCGGGGGGAAAGGGGTTGTACTTAGGTTTGCTGGCTGGTAGTACAAATGTATTGAAAAGATGCAAAATGGTTTTCTCTCGTGAGGCGATTGGTTTCGTTAACTTAGTTATTATGTAGATTGATAAATCTTTTAATAAAAAAAATTTTACTCTCTGTTTTAAAATTTTATTATTATTATTCTGCTTGTATGTGTGAAAGCTGATTTGTAAATAATTCTTAATATAATTAATCTATTTTTCTTACATGGTTGTTGTTATATTTGATTATAAATAAAAATGATGAGAAGATGTTCCCTTTCGTTTTCAAAAATAGAAACATGCCATGGATATGGAGCACCCAGTCTCAAATGTTTGCTGGAGGGAAACTTTGAGGAACAGATATCTCACACACCAAACACTTGCGCACAGTTTCACTGTGGAGCATAGATGCCGCGCAGTGGAATAGAGCTGTGTAGTCCAACGTCTGTCCGAGAGTGCTGTCGCGTCAAAAGGACAGAACAGCCGAGTTTTATATGCCAGGACATCTCTTGATAGGTTTAGGTTTCCTTTCCATGATTTAAAACCTCAAAATGCCCATGGTGATACGGTTGTGTCAAGGATGGATAGGGCCCTTATATCCAATCGCAAAGGATCGTGGCTCGCAGATGTGATGTCAGGGCAGCGAAATGCTCGGCAACGCTTCTGTGGCTCTGGGCTTGAAAATCCTCACGCAGGCCCAGTTCTTCAGCGACGCTCATAGGCTCTATAGATGAACTCTCCCTTCCGCGACCGTGGGTGGGTGGTGGAATCCAGGGCGGGATCCAGGCGCCCTGGTCAGTTGGTCAGAGTGCAGGACGGACGGACGAGGGGCATTTGATTTGCATTGGTGAGGGGTTTGTGAAGCCGAATGATTGGCATTTGCTGGGTCGCGCGACGTTCATGGTGAGGATGCAAAAAATTCCTGCTTCTCCTTGCAAACAGGGAATGATAAAATGAATCTGCGATTTGCAGCTCGCATCCGTTTTTTTTTTTACGCCTTTGCCTCTCAGTCCCTCACAGTGGATAAAATCCGTAACGTTAACTACATAAGTCGGTCCAATTCGGCTCCATTGTCGTCATCGATCCTGCCATCTCATCTCGCTACCTTAATCTCATCAAGCTCAAACCAACTTCATATATACCCGCGATTCCCCGTGAAATTTGCTATTCTTCTTTTATCCTCCACGAGAAACTACTACATAAGTTTAGTTGCCAATAGACAAGCACTATCGTACGCAGCAGAAGATCTCGACTACACGATTTCGTCTCTACACTATCCCCTAAGACAGACCAAGGTTCTCCTATCACCTCTAAATTTTTAACTACTTCTATACTACTACAGCCATTCAAACATGTCGAACCGTCCAATCTTCGTAGCGACTCATCCTCGCGCATGCTCCACAGCTTTCGAAAGAGTATTTTTTGAACTACTCCCCAGTTTCATCATGGACGTTCTAATTCGCAACTAACCTGAATCTCTAGGTCTTCATGCAATGTCGTGATACTCTCCAATGTGTCCATGAACCCTTCGGGGATGCGTTCTACTTTGGCCCGGAAAGGCTGAGCAGCAGATACGAGGATGATGAGAAGGCTAGAATTGAAAGCGGCTTTGCCGGTTCGACATATCAGTCAATATTTGACAGGCTTGAGAGCGAAGCATCTGAGGTTTGACCCTTTTTCTGGTCCCTGAGAAAATTGGTTCTTACCTTTTCTTGCTCCTCTTTACATTACACAAATATATCATTTCACTGTTTTCGGTGCGATTCGGTGCTTCTTGTTTACCTGGGGATAAACCCACGGTCGAAGCCTATTATCGATACCACGGGTCACTATCTTCCTCGCCATCCTCCCTTGCGATGTTTGGTCATCCATGTCATCGATATCGAGAAGCCGTTTTTCCTCCCCCGAAACTGTTTGATTTCCCAAAAGTCCTCCTTGATCCTTCGTGTATTTAGCGCAAGAGCTTTGACACATGCCCTACTATAATGCGCTCAAACACAGTTGAACCTAGATGGCGTGCATCCCGCACTCAGCGCACTCAACCATTACTATATACTTACCGCACTATAGGGAAAACGCCTTTTTATCAAGGACATCATTCACTACCTCGTTCCCCCAAGCGGAAAGCCCGCCAGCATCGCTCCCTCCTTACTGAGAATTAAACGCGGTGTGGGCACGGAGGATGGAAATGCTGTCGACCCCGTGGGTGTGTTGGCCGTGGAACCAAGTTCCAATGCCAATAAGAACACCCCTTATCCGTATGATACGCCTGCGGAGGTCGACAATCCGACCGTTGTTCCGGCTGCACTGCTTGCCAAGTTCCATTTCACTTTCTTGATCCGTGACCCCCATTACAGCATCCCATCCTATTATCGATGTACGATCCCACCGTTGGACGACATCACGGGCTTTTACGACTTTTACGAATCTGAGGCGGGCTACGACGAGGTCCGCCGTGTTTTCGACTACCTGCGCAAAATACAGCTTGTCGGTCCGCATGATGCCAATGGAAACGGGGTTGCAAATGGCGCATCAAATGGAGCCTACACAAACGGTAACGACGTCAATGGAAGCACCGCACCAGAAAATAATAAAAGAACTGAGATTTGTGTTATTGATGCGGACGATCTGCTGAATGATCCTACTGGCATAATCAAGCGCTACTGCAAGAGCGTCGGAATAGATTACACTCCCAAAATGCTGACCTGGAATACCGAGGAGGATCATCGAATTGCCAATGAGGCATTCGAGAAATGGAGAGGGTTCCACGAAGATGCCATCCGCTCAACTGAACTAAAAGCTAGAAGCCATGTAGGTTTTGTTATTATTATTCTTCTTCTTCTTGTTATTATTCTCATTATTTAAACCCCGCCTCGCAAAACATCATATATATATAAACCAAGCAGGGTATATACCATTGGTTCTTCTGACTGACAACTCTATTTTATCGACTAAAGCAGAAAGCACGCAAAACCGAAGCCGAATTCGACAAAGAGTGGCGTGAGAAGTACGGCGAGAAGGGAGCAAAAATCATCCGCTCCGCCGTCGATCGCAACATGGCTGACTATCGCTATATGAAGAAATTCGCCATGAAGGCTTGAAAGAGAATATCCATTTGGCAGTATTTCGCTGGGAAACATGGATTTTATCTCCTTCTTGCTTTTTACCTCAACGCACCTCCCCTGGTTAACTCCCTTCCCATTTTATTTTATCCTTCAAATATTCATCTTTTCTTTTCTTTTCTTTTTCTTTTCCTTTTCTTTCTTTCCCTTTCTTCTCAAGCCCTGGGTGTCAAACTAGCTCTCCAGTTACGCAAACGGACACTCGAGACGTGCATGTGTGATCCCTTCCTATAACTACGATTGCTGAACTCAAGACACATGGGAGGCTATCTGCGGACAAGTCTTGCGCGTGCTCTTCTCTGGCCTCGTTTTTATCCCTCTCCGCGGTTCCACCCTTACCTTCATTTCCTTGTCCTTGTTCTTCTTTTCCAATTTCCCCCTTCTGTATCTGCCACGCTCGCCAATCCGTCGAAGCGACGATTAAAAAGCTGGCTGGGCCGTGGCAACCCTACATTTTCGCCATTCCGCTCTCGTCCCTCCCTTTCGTACAAGTAGTGATGATTTCTCCTTAACTTTTACTTGCCCGATTTTTAAACGACGCCAATGCCTTTATATCATGCTCTGGAGCATGTCGCGTCTATTGTTGATTGCTTAGTATGCGTAGAGTAGCTAGTGTGTAAATCATAGTGCGTAGGTACAGTTAGTTATGTTTCACGATATTTCAATTGAACCCCTTCTAGCTGCAGAAGCTATGGGGATTGCAGTATATAGATTACTTTGCGCGCGGAGCTATGTACAGGGTATAGGATCAAGGAGGAAGAAAAAAAAATATAACAATTGAGAATCTCCCATTCACATATACGTGTCTCAGGCTATGAAAACAAGTCTTTTTATATATATATAAGGTAACTATAGAAATCCCGAACTCCGGATAAACCGTCACTCGCCCGACAACACGAGACAACTAGACTGCCAAGGACCGCAGCTGGCCAAAGGGGCCAAGGACATAAATGAAAAGATAGATATGAACAAAAGAGAACCAAAAAACCGCCAATGCGGCAACTGAAACCTTTCTAGTTCCTAAGATGTGTGAATGCGTTTAGCGGAGAGGAGGCACGGAAAAAAGAGCACTGCGGAGTTAAGGGATAAAATATGGTGTGTGGTCAGTGGTGGTCAGGGCGGTGGTGAGAGGGAGGCTGGGTAATGTAGAAAGACGTTCGAAGAACAGTGATCAAAGAGTCCCGGATATGCCAGGTATGAGCCCTAGAGACATACTCAGGTATAGGTAGGTTGATCATGGGGAATCGATTCCAGACCGGGGTGCTTCCATGTCGTTGTGAATAAACCTTGCCAAACACTCACAAAGGGCAAGCCGTTTAAAAACAAAAAAATAAAAGGAGTACGCAGTAAGCAACAGTCAAGCAAGGAATTCATAAGACAGTGCAGTGGTAGTTCATGTTTCCACGTAGTCAGAACAGAGAATATAGTCAAAGAGTTCAACAATAACCTACAACAGATACGAACGGCATGCGTAGGAGATTAAAAAAAAAAAGAGGAGTAAGAATGCAGGGAACGATGAGGGAAATGGATCATCCATCATCCACAACCCAGTAACTCAAAATGGCGTTCAAACAATCCGCCAAATGAAAACAAAAATGAAAATAAAGAAAGAAAATAACAAAAGACGAAGCCAAAAGCAAAAACTCCATTGCTCATTCAGGTAATTAGACGGCACTGTAGCCGCCCCGCGGTCCAGGGCCTTGTACGGTGGTAACCACTTTCCGGCCCCAATCCTTCAAAATATAAGGGATATCACGAATGGTGTCGCCATGTGGAAGGAGATCCCAGCCACGCGCGCCGTATCGGTTGTAGTTCAACCAGGAGCCGAAGATAAGATACGCAGCGGTGCAGAGGAAGACACTGCAAAAACCCACTGTTAGTCCCATCGCGATATATATGTAGTTTATGGCGAGGGTGGGGAAGCAAGTATTCTGTAGGTGGTAATGAAGTGGGCAAGGGATAGCTCGAAGTTAGACACTGCGAGTACTCACATCACAATCAACCAGGTGAAAAGTCCCCAGTGATTATTCTTCTCGTTTCCACCGTCCTCGAAGTCTTCACAGGCATACTTCGTCAACCAATCCAATCTCAAGACGAACACATTATCAACCAGTCCGTAGCTCTTAAACTGAAGACTTTTCTCGTCACCCTTTTTGGTGTCGCCTGCTTTATCGTCTTTTTTATCTCCGTCGGATCCATCTTCGTCAGCCCTTTTAGTTCTCTTGCCAGACCAATCGCCTTCTAAGCCGGTGCGCTCGAGATCACACGTCATTTCTATAACGGCTTGTTGTTTATAATCCTTGCCGTTAAAGGGATATTTCCCGCCGTGGAGCTCGACCCGGAGCCCTTCATGTTGGGAATCGCTGGACTTAAGCCGCGTAACCTTAGGATCGAGGTTTCTGCCAGAATTCTGGACGTAAATACCCGCGATTGGAATAGCACCTAACACTTTGTTGTCATTCGACGATCGTTGCACTCCGCAGACTGAGGAAAAGCAGGAGCCAGGTCAGTAAAAATCACATGAAGAACAGCCAGCTGGTGAACGTCGGCAAAAGCAATGGTACAACTAACTCATTGTCCCTGACGGGCACTCTGTTTCTTTCAGCGGTTGGCATAAGTTTACGGTATATGTAGTATTGATAGTGGTTGGAGGGTGTTCAACCACGTTGTAGACCGAGTGCGGACCGGCCAAAGAACGTAGGTTCCATAATTTGCTGTCAACAACGATACGGTCACAGTCTAACGTTACTCCGTATGAGAGGGTCGGAAATAGTAGTAGAAGTGGAAGATAAGGAGCTTCTTTATTTATCTTCATGGTGATGTAAGTGTGTATGTGTGGAGGTGCGACGAAAGAGTGATGAGAGGGCGTTTCGTGCCTGGTTCAGGCAGCCAAGGGGAGGATGACCACTAGGTATACCGGTAAGAGAACGACAGCCCGCTTGTTCAAAAAGATAGTGAGATGTGTAAAGGTTCAATAAGTCTTTGTAGTGAATGCTCTCACGGCTAGAGGCTCGCAGTCGTTGTCGTCGTCGCCGTTCGTCGTTGTCTTCGTTCGTCGGATTGGTCTGGGGTTGGAGCTGCCCGACGCTTACACAAGCACACTCTAAACAAAAAAGGACTAGTGATGTCACTGGCTGAACTGGCACGTGACGCTAGAGAAAGCCAGCAAAGAGCAAAAGGAGGAGTGTCTTATTGAGATGATGACGATGATGAAGATGATTATGCCGATTGACAAGGAGGCTTGTTTAAAGCTGGACAGGCGCCGGATTAGCGTTAGTTATCTGGGGGAGAAGAACTTGGCATATCTCTGAATCAAAAGGCCTACCTTGGTTCGTAGGGCAAAATCGTCACGAGCGGGAACAAATAAAAAGATTACGCCATGAAGTTGAGCGCAACATACTCATATAATAAAAGAAATATATATATATATATATATATACGTTGAGATCTGGAGGGCATTAACTGATGCAAGAAATGTTGAACACTTGAACATACATGTACAAGTAACATGTATGTACAGCAGTAGTTACTTTCCAACCTTGCTTTCGGCTAAGTTTGTGCACGGGCCATGCGGCGGATGTTCGCTCGTAGCTTAAACGCATACATAAATAACAGTTGGACTGCAGGAAGATATATATAAAATCAACCCTCAACCCTTAATACCATCTGTGGCCTCTACGTCTACGGAACTTGAGCTTAATATCCCGCGCATTTCATAAAACATGATGCTACAACGACGTATGGTGAGAAATCCCTTTTCCGTCGTTCTGTCCCCTTCCCCTCTCACCCGCTCAAACGAACTCATAAATGATTTAATTGGAGTTGTTATGTTTCATATGCTTACGAATTCCATAGCTTTCGAAGGAGGACGAGGCGACAGCTGGTGGCGATGAAACTGAGGTCCGGCGTGAAGACCAGGAAAAAATCAATCGCTTCAGCAGACTACACCAGCGGGAAACAATGCTCGAAGAGCAGTTGAAAGCTAAGCATGTACGTCTGGACTTTTATTGTTTTATTTCTATTTTGTTTATTGTCATATTTTTTGCCCTTAAGGGAGGTTATACCTCCTTTAATTCTGAGAATTTAAGGCATAGCAGGATACACTCTACCTGATTTGATCGTGGTACCCCTGTGATACCTCCCTCAGAAACTTCCTGCATACCTCCAAGCCAGGCCGCATAAGCATATATATGCCCAGTTCACTTTCGAGGTGTTTCAAGGCTACAGATATGTTTTCATTTAGGGGTAAATCCTAGCAGTTTGTTCAACTATATGGCTAATCATGCTTATCAAACCATGGTTGTTCCCGCCGCAATAGAAAGACAAAGAAGATCTTGAGGAAGTGTCCATGGAACTCGAACTTGCAGATGAAGACGAAAAGATACCGTATGTTATAACTCCTTTCCCAATTAGTCGACTGCTTTAGTTTCCCCATTCTTATCACTCCCTCACTTAAACAAGCTAACCGAGTCAAAACCATCAAAAACAAAGGTATAAAATTGGCGACTCGTTCATATCTCTCCCGCTCTCGGAAGCACAATCACTACTCACAGCTTCTACAGAGCGAATCGATGAGGAGGTCAGCAAGCTCGAAGAGAACCTAAGTGATGTGAGGGATGAGCTACAACAGCTGAAAGTTGCGCTCTATGCGAGGTTTGGCAGGAGTATTAATCTCGAGACTTAACTTGCGTCGAGGGAGTAAAAATGACGAAAGGTTCTGGTAGAATTAGTAGAATTTAAAAAGTTAAATTTCACGGGACTTTTCTGAACATTGTTACTTTTATCAAAAGATTATTATAACTGCGGCTGTCTTCGCGGCGAATCTGCTTTTTTCATCGCTTTGTGTTTCCTCTTTTACCGTTTCTTCTATATAAGTACCAGATATAATAACTTCAATTCATTTGTGGAAGGACACCATTGGGCGAGGAATGAAATGGATTGAACATATATAGATATGTGGCTATATCGCAGGAGCTGTATTAAATATTCATTTGCCTACTACAGTTGCCGCAGCCGGGCCTCATCTCCACAAACAAAACAGACATGGCGAATCGCTAAGGTATCTCACATGTAAAAAATATAGGAAAACAAGAAGTGGGTATTTTGGTTAAAGGCCGTAAGATAACATGAACAGTTAAAAGCGTTAAGGAGAAAAAGAAAGGGTATTTTATGTACAGTACATGTCATTACTCAGGCTTGATATTTGAAACAGGCTGGACTGGAGTAGATGGACAAGGTTCAAGTTGCGGTGGGTGTCGCAGAAGGAAGGAAGGGAGGGCGGGGAAGATGGTCCTTGCATTCATCATTGAATAAAGACCGTATGCGTTATCCGGTATACATAGGCCTATTGGCTTGGAGCGGTTTTTGACCATAGTTTTCATTTGAAAAACGAAGCTGTGATGAAAAGACGGATGCGTAAACTGGGGCTCTCGAATGGCCCTAGGGGAACTGGGCACCTGCGTAATTTATTCAACGCGAGGTATCGAAGATAAACGCCACGAAGTGACGAGGCGCCTGGAACGGATTAATGCCCAGCTAACATACCCGAGCCCATGTATTTGCACACGAAACGAGGCGCAAAACGCACTGCTTTTGTGGCTTTTACAATTATCCCGGGTTGGCGAGTGTGCTCGAAAATGCCATCAGAGCTGTGATCCAAATTTGTATATAATGCCCCTTGAACACAGCTATATCATAAATGATGTATCATGAAGGTGGCGAAGATTCAGTTGGAATTGAATCAGATTATGTTGGCAATTGTCATTCGCGAGTGACTGGTCGAACCATTGCGAGATGGACTGATGTTCTCGGGAGGGCGATTATAGGGCAAACTGGACCTAGGGAGACCTGAAAACCGAGTTCCATTCTCCTTAGTCCCAACCATGAGGTTTTGCTGTTGTTGCTGTTCTGTTAGAAGGAGCTGGACTGTTTGTTCCACCCATCCCCATCCCTCCCATTCCCTCTCTGAGGCATCTACAGCAGCTCCATTCGGAGCGCCATCGACGAATTGCTCCCCGAGGGGTGAGAGTTTCGATGAAGTTACGGATTGTGGTTGAGTTACCGTCGACGCAGATTCATTCTCGTTGGTTTGCCATATCCAGCTGCCACTAGCCCGGCCTTGAAGATCACCTGAAACATAAGCCATCATTTCCTCGTCGCGGTCTAGGTTTTCAGGGCCGTGTCTCCGCGCCTTTTCCAGCATACACTTGAGAAAGAATGCAACGTAGCGGCCACAAGCGGCATTGACTAGTCGTGCATCTCCTATTGCAGCACTTGCTTGGACGCAAACAAGTGCACCAGCATAGTCACTCTGTAAAAGGAGAATCAGGGTACAGCGCCATATGTGGCAGCATAAAATTGTGGTTGCCGCAGTTGCCATCACATGCCTCCAATGGCCTCCTTGCTGGGCAATAGGTCCAACTTTTGGCGTGTTTGGAGAAAGCATGCATCGGGAGAGCAAGCAGGCAGTATCACGGCTAATGGCTAAACAGCGTCCAAGAGCGACGTGCCTCACCTCTGTTGAGCTACGTGGAGAAATGTTGTGGCGATGGAGAACAAGTCGGGTATTTTGCATAAACATGATGGGGGAGAGTGCGCGAGGATGTAGATAGTGGTTCGCCTCCATTCGATAATCCAGCGGGAACGTTGCCAAACACAACCTGAAATGTCGTTCGAATGCCTCTAATGTATCAGTAGAGATCACCAAAGTCTTTAGGCTCTTGGTTAATTGAGATACAGCACGCATGACGTGAGTTATCGCTAGAACAGGTGCGAGCTTCTCCCCTCGCGATAACGAGTCCCCGTCAGTCAGGCGATCGTCAACGGAAGAGAGGAGCTCGACATCGCAATCTTCGTCGTGTATCATTAAAGGTCTCCCTGTTTCAAGAACCACAAGCCTACCACACGTACAGTTAAATTATTAGTTGACGTTCTAGCGTGTTACACAACTGGTTTCGGACCGACCTTTCCCATGCATACAACGCCCACCAAACCCTTCTTCTCAACACAGTTTCCATAGGAGAGTAGGCAGACTCGATGTGCAAACCTAGGTCCTGAGCAATTCTCACAGCAGAACCTAGCCAAACCCAGCTGGCAGATTTCAAATTTGTCTCATACAAGAAGATGCTAATCAGCATCGCAGTCCGGACTTGGTTAAGAGAAAATGTGTCTTGCCAAACATCAATCAGACCGACGCTGGTTTGGAGGAAGTCTTTGCCCTTTGACACCAAATCCTGGTCAAGAGAATGCAAAGATCCGCATGCAAGAATTGCAAACAGTGCTGCAGCCCATCCCCTAGTAACTCCATGAAGAGACCTGACGCGGGAGACCTGATCGTAGTCATTCAACAGCGTCGGCCAGTGTACAATGGGAAACACAGAGTGTATGTGGGAGAAGTATTGCCCCAGGAGCGCATCCATGACACTTGCTGGAGGCAGTGGGGGCACATCCCCAGTCAGCAACAACGGAAGATGTGTTAATGAAGGATTTGGTGGGAAGTTGATGAGTCCCTGGCCGTAAGTTCTCATTTTCGAACAAACGTGGGATGGCGGCAGGTTTATATTGGTGAAATTGAGGCGATTTGGGCGTTGCCCGACCTCCGGGATTCTTGGAGTATCGTCATGCAACTCAAAATCGGGATCCATCAAACTGTCAATTTTGGGAATACCTGAACGAAGCTGGCGAAGTTGTTGTTTTGCTTGTGCTAACTGTCGCTCTAGATCCTGAACCTGCCTACGGATGGATGAGTTATGCAAGGCACGGCGAAAGTCGTGTAGGTGACGACTTACTTGATTGACGACATTCGTCTGTTCGTTTCCTTCGTAAATAGGCATCGCACATTTCGATTGGAACATTCTGTACAACTGGAGGAATCTGAGGCATCGCACTACACAGAATGAACGCGTCTGATCAGCATTACTCATGGCTGTATCAGCCGTGTCTGCCTTCGCTCTACAACTAACCGAACCTTATACCTTTACTTTGCGTTCCCGACACGCATCACAACTTGGGTCCTTTCGTCTCTGTCTATATGCTCTTTTGTGAGGTTGCTGGTTCGAAGAAACCATACGAAGCCGCGCCGGTGCCATCTCATTTTGATGGTGAGCTTCTGGGAGAACCCCTGACGTTTCTGTTGAGGAGACTGACAAAGACCCCTGCGAATGCAGATGGGCTACACCTGGAGGTGAATGTCGCAGATCATGTTGCCGGGAGCTATATACTAGATGAGATATCTTCAACCCGTTTGACGCTCTGCTCGAAGGCGCTGAACTGAGATTTGATCGCGCCCGAGGACCGGAGATTGCTGATGATGTTGATGAAGCAACCGGTGGGGAGACATACGGACCACTACTCTGCGGAGCTTGGATCGCAGGCAGTTGGTGATATGGATTTTGCATATTTCCTCGCTGTCCCTCTCGTCTTCGAACTCGAATCTTCTTGGTTATAGATGCCGCAAGGGATTCGGTTCCGAATGGGTGATTCCTAGATAGATCGAAGGAGCCCAGGCTTTTCGCACAGGCGACATATCAATAGATCATGGATGAAAACTGTCAATTTTGCAAAAGCGCATTAACTTCAACGACCGAATACCACAAAGGATGAAATATGGTACTGGCTAGCTAAGCCAGCGTCTTAAAAGCTAAAGAACTTATTAGGGTTGAGCTTTGGAACCCAGCTAACTTTGCGGGACCGCTGCAATCGTTTGCTGGAAAGTTTACAACCTGAGGACTGATTTTGCGCTGAGCCTTGGCTGCATTTTTAAGCGGACACCAGCCGATTGACCTCCCACTGCTCCCAGACGCTGGAGAAAGAGGCCACGCTACGGGTTGATCGCCAGAGGAAAGCCGAGGTATGGGCGACGAGATATGTCTTGGGCCTTCCCCCCAGGGCTTCTCGTAAACTTGTACACAGTACTAGTAAGGCCTGGAGGATGGTAGACTGGGTCACCTTGATTTTAGCCGGACCCACTTGGAGCAGCAAACCTTCAGTGCGGCAGTGCCTCACTGGTTTAAGCTCATGAAAGTCGGGCCTCGTCTCTCCATTCCTGTGGTCCACGATGATGATCTGCCATTGGCTGAAACGTGCGAGCAGCCGGAAGAATCTCAGGCAACCCTGGAAAATAATCTGCTGTTTCCGTGAACTGAGAGACAACGCGGTTTTTGCTAGGTTTGAAAGAAAAAATAAAAAATAAAAAATACGAAAACGGGAAGAAAACTAGACGGGACGGACTCCTTGCTTGACGACGATTTCGGTCAGGCTCGCTAATTATGCTCTGCGCGACGTAAAATTTCTGGCAATCAATATTATGGGATAGTCTCTAAGCAGATGCAATCAGACGGCATGGACCCTGGATAAATGACAAGGATATAAGGGTCGCTCGTATTATTGCTTACACTTCTGTTCTTCTGCAAGCACACAAAAAAAAGGATGTTATCGGGATAATCAGTCCCATTTCGTCTGCTTTACGAGGACATCTTTAATAGAAACCACGCATGTGCCAAGCTCTAGACAGGGTCCTCCGTATCTCTAGCAGCTTTTGCTAGAGATGGCAACAAATGAGGGCGAAAATCAAGGGGTTAAATTGGTAACTCCATGGAAGGTGATTCCGAAACTTTCCATCGGCGCCCAACCACCGAGTAAGTGGCATGCATATAAAATGGCTGTCACTGGAGGAGATCGACAAGCCAAGGGGGAGCTGGCGAATGCTCCGCGTGTTTCATGACAGCCACAATATTCTTGCTCGTGTGGATCGAAAAGTTATGCAGAGTGACTTGTCTGATTCAGTAGTGATTCGGGTGGCCCTCCGAACATTACCATGTAGTCTAGAGCGAGGATCCACTCGTTAGTGAAGGCACGCCGCAACGCCAGAGTCGGATCATAATTGGGTTCGAGCCATCGTGGGGAGCATTCCCTGTTTTCCGAGTCCCCTCTGCCAACAATTCTCTGTAATTAATGGATAAGATTAAAAAAAGTAAAGTTCCGAGTTATGCGATTCCAGTCGGAGAACGTGGATGAAGCCACAACCTGAAAAGGAGAACAGACGAAACAGGGTGCAGCCAACCGAGGAACTGTTACAGGATGGTGAAACCGATGATGAAGACTGAGATCATAGCTGGGTTGATTGCGCGCAGCACTTAAGAGTCAACAAGCGAGAGTACTCCGTAGTGTACAAATTATCCTATAACAATAAATAATCCGTGGTAGGTATTAATGATATCGAGTAAGGCGAACATGATGATTTCCAGGTGGTAGTTAGGGCGCTTGGGCCCTTTTGGAGAGGCAGGGGCGGCCTGCACAACCGTCCCAAGCAGTCAGCCGCCGCCCGCAAACTCAAACTGCGAAACAGGCCGCCGGAAATGCCGCTTTCTCTCATGTCGCCAGATGAACTCCGGACGAATGAGACCGCACCGGCGCACAATGGAATGGGCACCCCAGACACAGCCAGGGATTCAAGCTTGTACTCGACTCAAGGGCCAAGGTTGGAAGGCCAGTCCGGTCAGAGTGGCACTCACTGTATGTATGCCGTTTTTCTCGCCGCACGGTCGATGCTGGGCTACATATTGCCGAAGCGAAGAAGTCTATACTACGAACGCAAAATTTCATTCTTTCATCAACGAGCAAAGGGCCGTGTCTCCAGCATCAAGCCTCAAGTACAGCAGTCGCGGACTTTGCTTGCAAGGATCGTGGTTTGAGCTGGCCATTGGCGGTAGCCCCGCAGTCATTCCCTTCATTCCGACAGAAAAGGGACGGACAGTCCATCATAACCTTACCAAAATTTCCGTTTGCAACCTTTCATTTTTGCCTATGGGGAATGGACAAATTTCCATGAAGATTGGCACCTCTGCTTTGCATTGTTAGCAAGGCAAGGTGTGAAATCCTCCTGTCGCCAGACACTAGGGGACGCTAAAGCCGGTACTGGAAAAAGCAAATACACTCCTCGGTTCAAGCCGTGGAAAGTTTAGGCTGAACCAACAACAGGAACCAGCGGGACTGTTTGTCATTCTTTGATATGCTCTTTCAGGAAAGAGACCAAAAAAATGACAATGTTGGGAAAATTACCGAAATTTTAAGAAGGGAAAGTATTTTCCAAAATGAACCTGCGCGTGGGTTGAGCTTTGGGATCCAGAGCTCCTTTTACGTGAATTTCTCGTCCATCCATTATCTTCTTGGTTGTCATCTATTAATTTGTCTATTCTGTACGGAGTAGATCAGGAAGAAAAGATATGGACACCCTCAAAATGAGAGACGATACTTCCTTGGATCGGTAGACGGCAGCTAGCTACCTGTCGAAAAGTGCAGGAGGCACCGCACATACCATGTTCATTCCATATCTGGCCTTGATTCCTGGAAGATACCGCAATGGCATAAATGATCAAACGAACGAGAATTATGTTCGCCACCACGGCTCGTCCAGCCGAAAATATGGCCAGGAACCCATCATATGTAATGCGCACAGGCTGAAAAGCTGCTCGTCGTCACGGTTCGACTGTTCTTCGTTTCGCTCTCTGCCTGTGGGGTAAAATTTCCGATGGGGACGAAATTCGGCGTGAGTTTTCGCAGGTTTTATTGTGTTAGGTTCCTTAGAATTTAGAACATACAGTTGTGCATGAAAAAAGACGCTTCTCTCAACCCGAACCCACAAAAACTCTTTTTTTCAGCTGTTAATTTTTCAGAAATAAAAGCGCTGAGTCCTGTGAACACCCGAACTAACCCGGCCCATGCAACGATTCGTGGTTTCGGGGTGTCTGCCGAGATTATGTTATTTTGGAATCATGTTGGATCCACGCGACCCTCACGCTAACTTAGCTGCTCTGGGGCAGAATTCGAGGAGGGATCTGCCGCTTGGGGACATATGTTCGGAAACAGACAAGCGAAACGAGCAGGAATGCAAGTCATCCAAGACGCGGGGCAGAGACAAGGAGAAAAGGTCAATCGCGAATTCGTAGGAAGAAACATTTTGATTGCATCTGGTCCCCAGCTTCCAAGGTTGCTGCATAGGATTGGGCCCGGGATGTACACGGGCTGTCATAAAATTACTAAGACCCAAATCCCATTCCCCGCGATTTGGCCGTCCAAGTCCTTGTTCTTGCTGCGTGGTCCTCGTTTGTTCACACGACGGACGGGAAGCATCATGCTCCACGCAAATTATTAATCTCGCCTCACAAAACCTGACTTGCCTAGGCCCATAGATTGACGGTCCGTGCGCGGGTAACCTTTTCCCCTGACCAATGATCGCAGTAGCTCGGCTCGGCCTCTTAGCGGACTTGCACCACCCCCAAGAGCAAACGAGAAGAAAAACGGATAGCTCCCCGCGATGGATAAAGAAGTTGGGATCCGCTGATGACAGTGATGAGACTGTTGTGCAGCAAGTATAACGCCCCGCCATGTGTTTGGAGTTTTTTCCCAACTCAGCTTGGCGTTAACACAGGCAAAACTTCGGAAATTTTCACCATAACAAAAGACATCTATGTGATCGAGCCGTCAACAAATTTAAAAGTAGCCCTGGAAATCAAGAATAATACGCACAATCCCTTTTATTCCCTCGTGTTTTCCCTGTCGAATCCTGGTACAGTACATCCTGGCACTTTGGGGAGCAAACTCGCAGAATGATCTTGGCAAGGCTCTATCTATTGTTATTGGATCAGACCAGACGATATGAATTCCTAACTCCACACGCACCGCAAGAAAGGAAACGGAAGCCTTTACCAACCAGATGGATCAGACGGAATACCCTGGTCGTCGTTACGCCAGAAAGTCAGACTGACTGGAATAATTTGCCTGGCCAGGGTCCCTGGATTTGAGCCGAATGACATGTGTTGGCCTTTTGTTGCCTTTCCAGCGCATTTTTGAGCGCGAGCCTCACGTCACGCCGCTAATGCAATTGGAGGCTTCCGTGGAGCTTATCAAACTTCGTTCCGGATGTTAATAGTAATTCAGTCCAGAGAGACGAAGATACGTGATGCAAAACAATCGCGCAATGTTCCCTAATATCAACATATCTCATGACTCGGTGATCTTTCCCTTGAACACCCGAGTCTATTTCGCATCGAAAAAACGAGGTTAGGCAGACAATCAAGCACTATCCTACAGTTGTCACATCAGCCAAAAAGATTAATGTTTGACAAATAGAATGAAATAAAATTCAACGCTCATATGTCTAGATGTCAACTTGCTCTACTTTTCAGATTCTCAAGACCCGGGGCCAGCAATAATAACTAGATTTGGATTTAGAAACGCTCGACAAAATGTAGCATTCCTTAGCCAGCCAAACACAGTTTGACAGTGAGGATTGGATGGCAGATCACTTGGGTATGGGTAAGAAGAATGGTTACGGGAATGGCAGCAGGAACTGTAACCGCATTTTGCTTTAAAACTTATATCATTCGTAAACCATTATTCTTCACACATGTGGCATGTTCGACCACGAAAAACATTCAAAAAGGCTCTAATGTTCGGGCCTCTTTCTGAAAACACAGGGTGTCCTGGAGGGATTATTTTGCGCATTACCCACGTCGATATCTGGACCGGGTAATTCTAAACATGGCAATGCAGAACCGAAACATTCAGCAACCAACAAATGACGAGGAGGAACCAAATGTGAATAGCTGCACGGACAATGCTGTAATTATCTCCGCCATGGTATTCCTTTCAGCTATGTGTCTAAGATGATGTGCTTGTCGTACGGCCTCCAATGATATTGTTGTACACTGTGAGAAACCGCAGAATAAGGGTTCTTGGGGACGAGTGCTTGTTGCTTCCTTTCTCCGAATGGTCTTCGAACCTTCGAAAGGTGAGTACAGCCAAACTCTTTTCCCAAGATATATTGTGTTCGTAAGGCCCACCAACCTTCTTCCTATCAAGCAGAAACGTAACACTGTCGTCCAATGCATTTCAAGATATTTTCATACCACAGTGCCCCGCGTTGGTTGACAGAATGTAACGACTTCTCACAACAAGCGTTGCCAGGACCTCGTGCCTCTCAAACCATCGGTAAACGCGGTTTGAAAGGTAAAATATCATGCGACTACGGTGCTATGCATCGCTTCTTCAAGCTGCTGCTGCCCTTTTCGCTCTTGCCATTTCTCCATTACTGTCTCCGAAATCTTCTTCAGACCCTCCATTTCTTCTTCGACAGTAGAATCCGAAAAGTCGACGCTACATCCGACATAAACAGGCATGTCCATCCTGCGCGATAGTATCCGTGCCGTCCGTGTGGCGTAGTCGACGGTAGATGGCGAGGTGTAAAGTGCTGTGCTGATTGTGTTTTTCGGCTTGGTGCGCTACAAACCACTAAGTCAGCATCATGCACTATGATTATACGCCTCAGGATCTCCGGACATGGATAAGCCACTGTTCAGGCTAAGCCCGGCGTTGAAAAAGTGACAATTTCCGGTTTTTATGCATGGAGAATTTTGGGTATTCCGGATGGGATAAATTAGAAACGACTCGTCTGGAAATCATGAAGGAAATGGACGAGAAATAGCGCCGTGAAACGAAATATCCCTAAGAGGACCACGAAACGCAAATTCCGCATAACCTCAACAAAGTTGATATGCTTGTTTTGAAAAAACACCGCTCATGCTGGACGTCGAGACATAACGACGCCGCCGGGGAGGGAAGGAAAAAAGTCAAAAGGAAGGAAAAAGAGCATTTGCATCGCTGAAAAGAAGCACACGAACAAGAGAAAAAGTGCGATTATTTCCAGTTCAAACATACATCAGGCATCGCGTAAACGAAACTTCCCATCGGTTTTGACGTCGGGCCAGACTCTCCCATGCTCGACGTTGTGAGGAATAGCAACGTCGACGTTGCGAAGAAGGTCAAATGAATGTGTACAGTCGTATACAGAGATTTCGGAGCCAAAAATGATAACTCTATGGGAGCTATAGCTGGGCTGACTTCGGAACCCGGGACTGGACTGGAATTCATAGCTTCGGAAGACGATGATATAGTTTTCAGGTATTTGAGTGTAAGGGTGCTGAAGTCCTTCGGTTTAAGTCGTTTGGTAATTATATAATGATCAACAACCAGTCTACGTGGGTAGTCTATGTTTATGACTCTTTCAGAAGTAGTATTGACGCCGCAATCCATGAATATCCGCCCCTTTGGTGATGTCGCGACGATGGTGGGAGGTTGATTTAAGCTTGGCGCTAAACCCAAAATATAAAATCTTGGAAGCGAGCGAAACTTTAAAGGAAAGACCATTTGTGACAGATAAAAACACCATCGATAATTCATATAATGGCCAAAGGTAAGGTATGCGAACAATTGTTCCAAAACTACCTTACCCCTCTTCAAAATATAGACATGAATCAAGGTGTGGCGATGGGGGAAAATCCAGAGGAGTGGGAGGGGGATTTTGATCCTCTTGCCGACCCAGAGGAACGGCGCGTCCTCTTCGCTGCACTCGATTCTTTCAGGTAAGCTTATTTAATGACAGCTCTTTGGTTGAGTTCTGATATATCTTATGTAAAGCCCGTCTATTCGGCTCAGTCTACATGCACTTGATGGGGCAGTTCGGTTCATCCAGTGAGACAAAAGTTAGTGATTCAAACCTTCTTTCTTCACAACTGCTGTGCATATAGAATTTGGTACAAACTGGAGGGCCATATTACTTGCCGTGAAATGCAGAAACTATTTATATCAAACTATGCATATTTAATCAGCATCTCAGCTGACAACCACCCCAGGCAGTACCGAAGAAGCGCACACTTGCACACCACGCACCGAAGACGTCAATCATTCTATGCCCTACCGTCAGCCCATTGGCAAATGCTAGCTAAACCTCCGTTCTCTATTTTGGACAATTTCAATCAAGTTGATGATGCAATCGATGCCAACGCTGAGATCGCTTCTGCAATTCTATCTTTCGGTCTGAAAGCCTTTGGCCTACCCGCCAACCCGGACGCAAATGATGGCCACAGGAACTGGCATGATAACGCCACGGGCTCTGACATCGGCAAGGCCCATTCAACCGTCAGGCAGCTTTACCGGGACTGGAGCGCAGAAGGGGCCCCGGAACGGGAAGCTTGCTACAAGCCAGTCATGACAGATCTTGAAGAATTGTTTGGTTCCCAACCGCGTATTAAAGTCCTCGTTCCCGGTGCTGGGCTTGGCCGACTTATTTTCGACCTTTGCGCTGCCGGTTATTACGCAGAGGGGAACGAAATTTCCTATCACCAGCTCCTGGCAAGTAACTGGGCATTGAACCATACAGAGCGAACCAATGAATATCCGCTCTACCCATTTGCCTTGCAGTTCTCGAACCTGAAGTCTCGAAAACAGCAGCTGAAAAAGGTCATGATTCCCGATGTCCATCCGGCTTCGGTCATCGCTGCTCAATTGAATGAGCCGGATAATGGGAGAGGCATGGGGTCCATGAGTATGTCTGCGGCAGATTTTGTAGTCCAGTATAGCAGTCCCTCGCAGAAGGCTGTTTTTCACGCCGTTGCGACGGTTTTCTTCATCGACACAGCCCCAAATCTAATACGGTATATCGAGACAATCCGCAATTGCCTGCAACCAGGTGGGTATTGGATAAATATTGGCCCACTCCTCTGGCACTGGGAGGATAGGCCTTTTAAAAATGACTCCTCTCAAGAAGACTCTCCGTCGAAAGAAGCTACAGCCTCGGATAAACGCCATGAAGGCATCGGGGAACCTGGACGTGTAGAATTAACGGAGGAGGATGTCATTGCGCTTATCCAGCAATTCGGATTCGAATTTGTCAAGAGGGAAGCCGCGGAGACCTTGTGTGGCTACATTCAGGACCCGGACAGCATGTTGCAAAATCTGTACAGGCCTGCGCACTGGGTTGTGAAGAGGGTTGCAGAGTCATGAGGAAGAGGTGCGCGTTGGGCCGGCTGGCATATCAAATGGATAGAGACGGGCATGGATGACAGTGAAGGAACAGCGGATGTGCGAACCCATTTGATCTTTGTACAGGGCTGGGGGATTTCTACTTAGCAAAGCGCACGCTTGCGATGGAACCAGAGAGTATGGCCAGCCAATTCAGATACGTATTGGTTTGCACGTCGTAGTCTGTATGTATATATATATATATATATATATATGTTAATTGTCCACTACCACATCTGTATCCATATCACTTACATTATTATGCCTTGTAGCTGGTTTATTCAGGCACAACAGGCATTAACATTAACCCCCATTAAAACTCTGGTTAAGAGAGGAAATTTATGCCAGTAACAGAGTTACATCTTAAATTCTTAGGACTAATCATAACTTTTGAAAGGATCCTCTGTACATAAATAGCTAGTTGCCTGCTTGCAGCTCTGTTTTTCAAGATACCTTCTTACGTCACCGTTGTTCCCAAAAGTGTCCCCAATGATATGTCCTCCCCGTTGTGGTAACTAGTCAATTGCCCTAGCATTCCGTATGATCTTAGTAGATGAAGGATAATGCCACAATCAAGTATCGTCACAACTACAACCCAGATGCACTAAGGAACCCAAAAGTTGGAACGGAAAGAATTTGAATTTGAATTTGGACACTCTGTTATCTATGTAGAACAAATGACATGATGGATATGCTTCGAAACGTGAGCATATATATTTTGCTTTCTTTAGGCAAAGTCGCATGGTCCATTATTACGCGTCTTATTCAAACACATCCCGTAAGCTAGTGTCGACAATGCAATTTCACGCATCAGGCATTTCTGGACCGACGTTTGAGAGGCGCTGACACCCATTGTGGTGTAGATGGTTCTTGTTATATGTTCTGCTCTTTTCATCAGGATGATGAATAGGTCAGTGTAGCCGAATGCCCCGAGACACCAGGATATCCACCCCTAGATGAATCCACCCTCCAAGCCACCCCCGCCCGATCGATTCCCTTTATTATTAAAGCGTGTGTAATGTCAAGGTAAATATTAAAGTAGAACTTACAAGCGTGAATCGTTCCTTGCAAGCAGATTAAAATCGGCAGAGAAGTGCATCTAGGCCCGTTTCAGCAAACAAAAACAAGGCGGAAGAGAATAAAGGAAGAAAACGATCATGCATAAACTGAAGCAGGCTAGGCAAAATGTAGGCCATGTAATGTAATGTACATGTACAGTATCATGTACGGATATGAAAAATTGACGGTTTAGCGGGGATGATACGTCCGACTTTGAAGAGACTATAAAGGCCCTACAAAAGATTGATGTGGGCATGGATGGGGATAAGCCTTTACCAGCGGTCTCAAGTGCTGAAATGGCGGAAGAGAAAGGTAATGATCACGAGCCTCTTTGGACAAGTAGGAACCAGCAAGGGTTTTGCAATGAATAAAACCAGAAAGAAACATGTTCTCTTTGTGTGTTGACATCTGATTCCATATACGTCATCATCCGAATGTCCAAATGGCGAAGGGTTCCAATCTTCCATTGAAGGCGATAGAAGCCATGCTGGACAATCAATTGTGCAGCCCATAAAACAACACCAGTAATTGGATATAACGTCGGCATTTCGGAGTAGAGGCAGAGATATTATTTTTGCGAGAGTAAACGATGCCTCGGTAATTTAATGTATGTACGAATGTCGTTTAGAGTATCCAACAGTGATAGACCGAGAAAATATCCAAAACCTGGGAATCATGCCAGCTCAATTCTCACACGTCTTAGCCGGATGTACGTAGCGTAGGTATATTGCGTAGGGCAATCGAGACGCTCTCTGGCTTTGATAAGCTAGCCCCCGAACCGAACCTTTGGCACTGGCTGGGAAGGTTGAGAAGGTTCGAGAAGGGAAGCGTCCGGAAGCGGAAGGCACCGCACAAAGGCCGTTATGCACGTAGATTGGATCCGGGAGTCCATGAGGACAAAAGGTGGTCGTCAAGGCGATTCGAAATATGTACATCTTCTAGCCTCCAATAGGTCCCCAGTTTGGGCAAATCTTTTTGGTAAAGCTTTTTCTTGGTTTGGTTTGAAGGAGGACCTTTTAAAGTTTCAGCTCTACATATATCCCGCAAAACCAAACTCAACATGTTGTCATAGGAAACGACGCCTGTCGGAGTGGAATTTTTTTTAAAAAAAAACTGATATTTGATGTCGAGGAAGGCTGAATTCAGGAAGGCAATGTAATAAAGAGCATGGCTCTAGAGAATCGACGAGATACAAGAAGTGACAAGTGATGAGGACCCCAGACAAAGGTGGATGGGGGATTTCCTGGACTCATTTTCCCAACAGCTCGATGGCATCCTCAGAAGCTCATTGATCGGTTTGGTAGCAAGGGCAGGCTGTTGGCTGCAGGAAGCTGCATCAGGTTCAGCCCTCAGAACGAACCTACGGACGAATGAGAACGGTGACTGGTAAAAAGAGCGTAAAGCCGCCCGTGTGGGTTGTCACTGTCTGTCAAGGGTTTCTGTGAGAAAAGGTGGGGGCATTTAATGAAGCCTCCTCCCCAGTGGAGGTCACGAATACGGATTTGGGTCTTCGGTTAGTCCTTGGGCGCTTGCTGATCCAGGAGCTGGTGGGATTTTGGTTTCTTCCTTCACTCGCGCCAAAGACCCAGGAGAAAGGATCAAACAAAAGTCCAGCCGGCAGACCTGAGCAAACGCGGCAGGCCAACAAATTATCATTGAGATATCTTTTCACTCTCAGGTTGTTAGGTTGGCGTTTTCTTTTCATCTGTTGTTGTTCTAAGTTTCGGCGCGAGAGAGAGAGAGATCAAAATCATCCCCTTCAGCCTCAGATAAATAAGCATCCGAAATATCTGACGTCTTGGCAACGCAGTCCTGTATATTTTTCATTACGGATAGTTACGGATTACTTAAACACAAGCAGAATAACCACTCTCCACTCCACTCATTGCCGTACGAGGTACGGTAACAATACGAATAATGGCACTCCTGAACGTTATGGGCGGCATGGGATGGATGCACTGGTAACCAGGTAGTCATATTTTCGTAAGTAATAATAAATTTATCCGTAATCTGTACGGAGTACTCCGTACAATAATGGAAGCATCCTCGACATGGTATCGTTGGTGGTGAGATTGCGCATCCACATCGCCAGGAACGGAGTAGTAGTTTGTAAAAATCGCCTCCTGTTCTATTTTTGTGACAGTGTCAACTCCCGGATTTAAAGAAGACGAGGTGGCTCACTCCCGCCAGCCCAGCGGGAATAATTCCCTAGCTAGCCACCCTAACAGGAATGGCAACGTAGAATTTGGGTATTGTGTCACAGGCGAGAGCAAGAAAGCCCCGGTCCTCACACTCTCTGCTTCTGATAGAGAAATTGATTTGTAGACGTTTCTAGTCGCGGGGGAAAAAAGTGATGACTTGAGATTGTCAGCAAACTGCACAAAGAGAGACAGAGGAAAGAACACAACGGATAAAATTAAATACCAGTCATTCTGGCCCATTTGCAAAGGTGAAAATCATCGCGTCTCGGACATGTTAGTTTCTCTCCGAGTTTGCAGGGACGGCACTTGTAGTCCCAATGCCATTTGTCGAGGATACATACATACATACATACATACATACATACATACATGCCCGAAGCTGACAAGCGAACTCTTCCCGTGCTGATGTTCCCTGGCTTTACATATGTAATAATAATGATCCACTGTTGGTATATTTAACTCCTTCCCAGGTAATTTTCAAAAATAAATACAGACACGCTGAGGCTCTTCGCTTGGATTCCTGCTAGTCCAAGCGCAGCACTGCCGCTCATTTTTTGTTCCTCTGCTCAGTCAAATTATTTTCCCTTTTCTTTCGTTTTTTGCTCAGGTCCAGTTCCAACTCCAGCACAGCGAGCGGAAAGCCTTTCTCATCTCCGCCTACTCGACCACGATTGCTTGCAATACATACCCGCTGGGGACACAAGCCCCATTATCACACCCAACCGACCCCAGTCAAGTACGCAGAGACAACATTTGGTGCCAGGATCCTCGTGGAATTGAAACCGATTGGCAACCCTGGGAAAGAGGGACAGAGGAAAGACCTGGATGAGAATACCCGCAGTTCGCACAAGATTTGTCCTCCCAAGCGATCAGTCTCGCATGCTCATCCAATGATCCGATAGCAACGGTATTTCTAAAGGTAATAAGGCAGAGACCACCATCAGGAGGCCGTACACAGGAAGACTTCCTTCCCGCGAAGGTTAACTTTCATTTAACGCTTTACTTCTTCTTTATTTACTTTTTTAAATTTTTGCTGAGCTGCCCGCCCGCGCACTGCTGCCCAGGCCCGTTCCGAATTCGACTGTAATTTACCAAACTCAATAATACCATATTATACCTCAATACGACCTCGTTTTCTGGGGTGCTGCTCGTGATTCGTACTGTACTTACGCCATCATACACAGATACCACCCAATACCCAATACAATACCCAGCCTCGTTGAACTTCCTCAGCCCTTTCTCTGGTTGCGAGTTCCCCTTCGCCCTTTTCCCCCGCTCCTCCGCTGGACCACCTCACTTCGTTTGTCCCATAATCCCCACGAGTGCCTGTCTGTCATTTCCAGCCCTTGAGTTTTGTGGATGTGATGAGCTCCCGATTCAAATCTTTTGGTTTTGGATCAAAGCGCAAAACTGCCACCCCGCCAAATCCAGCACCTGCCAACGGCGCAACTCCCTCCCCTCCAACGGGTGCCAACTCTTCGTCCGCCAGCCTTCCGATGAACAATCCCAATCAACTAGGGCGGCCACCGAGCTACACCTATAATGCTGGTGGTGCTGGGCGGCCTACAAGCCCCATGCCCCCAGGGCAACAATTGGCACATCCTCCTCCGCCCATCAACACTGGTGTTCCTTATCCCCAAGCTGCCCCCCCAATGGCTGGTCCGCCTCAACCACCAGGTTACGGAGGTTATCCTCCTCATGCCCCTCATGGCATGCAGCAACAGCCAATATCTACATATGGACGCGCACATACCGGCGGCGAACTTGACGCAACGGGTCGAAGCAAAGCCCAGCTTATTGTAGGAATAGATTTTGGGACCACGTTTTCGGGTGTCGCGTTCGCATTTGTTACCAATACAGAAGCGCGAGAAGACATAATCACGGAATGGCCTGGCGCTGGAGCCCACGCAAAGCAAAAGGTATGTCTGGCTACACCGCTCGTTGTTCGCCCGGCTGCTATAATCCTGATCAGCTTTGCTACCCCAAGCTAGTATAATTTCGTGACGTTGAGGCGACTGACATAACTTTTCCTCTGTGCTTTTGGAAATTTTGGTAGATTCCAACTGTCCTTTACTACGACCAGTATCAGAAAGTTGTTGGATGGGGACCTGATATTGCTGATGCTCTTGCTCCAACTGGTTACCCGAAGCAAGGTGTTCAGAAGGTGGAATGGTTCAAATTACAGTTGATGCTCTCTGGAAACACATATATTGATCCAATTAATCTACCCCCCCTCCCCCCTGGAAAGTCAGAAATCGATGTTGCCGCGGATTACCTCATGAAGTTACGCGGTGCAATGCGAAATCAATTGCAGAAGACTTTGGGTGAAGTGTTTAATCGGGAGGAACGGAATATTCGATACTTCTTAACCGTTCCCGCTATATGGAATGATGCTGGCAAGGCTGCTACCCGTGCCGCCGCTATCGCGGCTGGATTTTTGCGGGACGAGAATGACAATCGTCTAACTTTGATCACCGAGCCCGAAGCAGCTGCCATGTTTTGCGCCAAAGCTGGTTTACTCAGTCTCAAAATCCATGATGCAATTTTGATCGTTGACTGTGGCGGTGGAACAGTCGATTTGATCGCATATGAAGTAGAAGAAGAAACTCCCTTCACAGTGGCTGAGTGCACTGCAGGCTCCGGAGATTCCTGCGGGTCAACTGCTCTTAATCGCAACTTTAGCAATATCCTTCGGGCAAAAATTAGAAAAATGAAGCTTCCAGACGGTTCAAGAACTGCAGGAAGAGTTTATGCCAAATGTATTATGGACTTCGAGAACCGAATCAAGGCCGACTTCCGAAATAACGGTCAGAAATGGGCGGTGGATGTTGGCATTGAAGCCGACTTCCCCGAGGCCGGTATTGAGGAAGGATATATGACTTTCACGAATGAAGAAATCCTTCAATGTTTCGAGCCCGTCGTGAACAGGATTCTCGAGCTTGTGCGTAATCAGATTATCGCTATTCAGGCGCAAAACAGGACGCTCCAGGTAAGCTAATACAGATCTCTCTCCCCTTGGTTTATCCCCTACCGGTATTGTTTCAAGCCCGGCTAATTTATTCATAGAACGTTCTTGTCGTTGGCGGTTTTGGTGCCTCTGAATATCTATTCCAACAGATCAAACTCCATGTCCCTCCTCAGTTCCAGTCCAAGGTGGTTCGCCCAATGGATTCCGTTTCTGCAATTGTCAAGGGTGCTGTCACGGCTGGAATTACTGAGCGCGTGGTCACCTCTCGTGTTGCTCGTCGTCATTATTTGATGGCGACGCTACAGCCGTTCAAGGAAGGCCACCATCCAGAGCAGTACCGTGTCCCTAGTCTCGACGGTAAAGATCGGTGCAAATATACTCGACAAATTTTCGTCCAAAAAGGGGAGCGCGTCAAAATTGGAGAACCTGTCAAAGTTAGCTTCTTCCGGCAAGTGGCTCCTGGCGCGACATTGATGTATGAGGATATTCTGTACGCTTGCGATGAAGACGTTTGTCCAGAATACACAAAGGATCCGCGTACGTATCTCTATTTATATCACTCCCGTTGTTTGCATGCTGAAACGCAACGGCATTTTGAGACCTTCATAAATACTAAAATTAAACTCTCCAACAGGAATCAAGGAGGTTGTTACACTTACGTCAGACCTTTCTAGAAAGAATCTCGAGAAAGATTTTGAGCGGATGGACACCCCACAAGGAACGTTCTATCGCGTCTACTTCGATATTTACCTCACACTGGATGGAAGCGAATTCAACGCCGAACTCGTCTGCCAAGGTGAGGTCATGGGACGTTGTTCAGCAAGGTTCAGATAGATGACTCCATTACTACTGCTGCTCCTTGCAGCCTGATTCCATTGAAATACGCCCGCCGACAAAGGGAGAGAGTCCAGTCCGTAAACAGCAAAAACGAACACCTAACGACATGACGATGAATTTTCCTTGAATACCCCAACTCTCGACCTCTGGACGGCATCTAGCCTGCCACTTACCTCCCCCTACTCTCTCACCATTACAATAACAAACATTTAAAACGACACAGATATGGATTTTATCATATTTGAACCTCAGATCTCTTTTTATTATCATGGTTTGACACTTACCAGCGGTTTTACATGTGTAAGCCCTCCCCAAATTTTGATGAATTACTCGGCCTCGAAAAACAATTTACTCACTTTTTATCTGCAAAATTTCTCCGCATGTGCCATTTCTTTTGCCTTTGATATTCTATATTTTCGTATTACTCCCCCCTTTGGAGGTAGCAAACTTGCATGTTCACCATTATACCTCTTTTTTTTGCTTGTTATTTGGTATATTCCCTTCTGTGTGTGGTATTTCGTTCTAACCCCTTCTTTTTTTTTTTTCTCAACCGACGAGCAAGTAATTTTGTTTAAACAGAGAGAACTTTTTCTGTCAAATTTCAGCGCTATCAGTGCTAGCAGGTTTTCAATTTTCTCTGATGACAGTTCCTCCAGCTATGCTTCTGTTTTTTTTTTTTTTTTTTTTTTTTTTTTTTTTTTTTTTTTTTTTTTTTTTTTTTTTTCTTCTTCTTTTGGCTTGTCGTTACTTGTTCTATCTGACATGCTTGTTATATACTTTCCAGGGTAATAAATAGACACGATTCAATTCTAACACTTCTTCCACCCTTTCTCCCTTCTTGCTTTGTAAAGGAGAGATCGCCATCGTCACAGAGCCACCTGTGCAAGTGGGACTCACTCATTATCAAAGCCAACGCGGAAGGTTGCCCTTTTGTTCCACCTCCAAGGTCTCGTTGACACAATGTCGCTCCTTAATATTCGTCTTGAACATCGTCTCTTTAGGCACGCGTCGTTTGAAGTGAATGTGTGGATGCTTTCACGCCGAGATGAGATGTGTATATCGTCCGTTGCAGATACACACTAATATCCCCATAATCCCCTGGGCACCTTCGAGTGATGGTCTTTTCTATACCCCGATATTTCCGCTCCAGCAGTGTTATACTGTAAAATGGTATGACTTTTCTGGCGAGGCTAAATTCCTAGATTAGGCAAATACGTTATCAACATAGCAACGCTCATCGACCGTGCTTTTATCTCGTAGTAGTACGGCTTGGAATGTACGAATCATCTGGGCATGCAGTGCCACCGATAAAAAGTCAGCTTCATGTTGTTCTATACCCCCTTCTTTATCATCAAAGGGGGTTTAGTTTTGTTAGAAAATTGTTGCGGGGAGGGGGGATTACATGAGCTAGTTAGCTTTTCCTTCTACAATGCGCATCGTTCCCACCGGGAACAATGCTGATACCATCACCTGTCTACACAGGCGAGGATGATCTCAGAGCCTTGTGGGCAACCGTGAACAAGCCTTGGAAACAGATCAGGTGGCTCGCCACGAAAAGATCTGGTAAACATTTTGGTGTCGCCTCTCTACAGGTTGAATGTCATGTTATCCTGGAGCAATTTCGCACTACTCGGAGTAGATCGAGTTTTATGGTCCAAAACCTAGATTTGGCTCTACGGAATCGAGACGTGTTTTCATTTGCCTTTATGAAAATAGAGAGCACAGGACGGGGCGGGACAGGGTTGCCGTTGAGGCAAGCAAGCTAAAGTAAGCTATGGATTTGGAGATATTCCTAGTTGACAAATAATTTAAATGTGGAGGGGGTCTTGACTTGTTTCCTTATGGATATATATATTATGCGGTGGATCCATCCACATTGCACCAGGTAAAGGACATACATGTAGAATAGTGACCTCAAATATGATAAGAATACTATACATGTCTCCCTAGGTTTTAAAATTGTTTTGAAGATTATATATAGATATAAAAAGCGGAAATTAAGCACAACATGATAAATCGTTCAATATTCATTCGAATGTGCGACTATAAACGCAATTATCTTATCTATTGATCTATGTATGTACCTTATTACCCACAGAGCAATGCTTGAATAATCTTTCTATGAGAGAGGTTCGGTAAGAGCGGCAGCGGCGGTATTACTGGGTAGCAAATATTGAACTTAGTTTGAAACCGCAATTCATAGTCTCTTCTAGGTTATCATTGACTCTATTATTTCATGGGAAATACAATTTGTATATCAAAGGATAGTCTAAGAAAATGTGGTAGAAGAAGTGTGTTTGGGGGGACAAAATTTTCAAAGGACTACGAAAGGGGCTGCTGGTTAACATGGGATGTATACATTCTCGCCTTGTGTCTAAAAAGAGTGTTGCAAGGATTGGGTGCATTTGATAATCGTCTGCAGACGTACATGTACATGTATTCCACAATTGCTTACAACCTCACGGTTAATACTTCGGACTGATTTAAATGAAGTCAGAATGGAGAAAATAAATGTTAACAGGGGGTAAGAAAATGAAGGGAAGGATGTCAAAGGAAACCTGACAAATTTGTGACATCGCACTCTTCTGGGAATACACAGCCCAGGTTCGGGTTCTGCAGGATTCTTATGATATTGATAGCTCCCAAGGAAATTCTCTGGGCCTCAGAGAGGAGAGATAATACGGGAGGTGAGGGGATATGAGAAAGGGAACACGGAAAATGAACTCCTCTTTCATTCCCGTAGGCCAAGTGGGGCTTGTCCGGTTGAAACTCCTCAAAGCTAACACGACTCAATCAGAACAGAGTTGAAAGCTCATCGAGAGATTATGGCTGAAGTTCTCAAGTCATTACTCCAGGCTCCGTGGTTGGCTGGCAGAAATATCCACTTTCTCGCGTTTCTCTCCCCACTTACGCGCAGACTGGAATTGGTCGAGACAGAGAGAGAAAAAAGAAATATACCTGGAAGTCGATGGACGCGCGCCACCGTTATTATGATTTGATACTCGCCAATCCCGATAAGAGAGACAAGCAACGCAAGTCAAACGACGGCTGTCATTTTCAAAAGCCGCGCAAGATTCAGGTACCTCGAGTTCAAGCAAGGTCCGTCAATATTGCTCTGTGAATCCTAACGATAGCCTAAAATCATTCAAGGCTCTAAGTCACTCTCCATACAATTGTAAGCAGCATTCGCGTTGAGAGCATATAATGTGATCAGATTGAAATTTATTTCCTTTGGAGTCCGATGTGGTGGGGTACTAACCCTTGAATATTAGTTCTTGGACGATTATCAGAATGTCAGCTCAAAGTATTTGCATACATAAATTTGATTGTCACAAACGGAATGGCGGTCTATGCTATTTTCTTCTTTTTTCATGAATTTATTCAACAAGCGGTAAACGTTCTTTCTCTGGAGCCGGGATGGCTCGGATCGATTGGCAGGAAAGTCATCCAGGAGACAAAGAAAAGTTAATTAAATCACTGGTTCTTCAAACGTGGTCTTCATGTAACGATTCCGATTCCAAGGTTGTTGGAAATTTGCGAGCGAGCGCACGGCACAGAAATTCGGCGTTTCCAGGTTCTAGCTGTTTCTGGTCAATGAGTAACTTATATGTTTCCAACCTTCTAGCCCCGAAGACCAAAGGATGAAAATCATTTATCCCATTACCCGCACGGAGTGACGAAAATGCTATCAGGCACAATCACGAAAGAGTTGAGAAAGCGGGCTCGAACAGGGCAGTATCCAGCCTTCATGTGAGCCGAGTGATACCGATGAGCTTTGCTTCATCAGCCTCCCTTTTTGTTCAGTTCGACGCTGCTTGCGTAAGTAGGCGCCTTGTGCTTCCTTTCTTTTTCTGTGCCTGCAGAGTCCGATCTAGTGATGGTCGCAGGAAAAGAACTTTTGGGTTAAAGTTGACGTATTCAGGGTCTGGATTCGAGGTTGTTGTGGGGGCATTGTTCCGAGCGCCGCCATTGAAAACGTGCCTGGGCGCTCGGCGATACTTTTTGTTCTGGCGATCGTGGAAGGCATTATTGGCGAGGAACCGCTGGAGTAGGGTGGAAACTTTTTAAAGTTTTTGATTCTGCACTAATTAGCGCGCTACAAATGAGAGCCTACTACGCAGTATGTACAGTACAAGGAGGCCAGTAGCCTGCCCCAGCTTGGGGCCTAGATAGCCATCGGCCTAATGTTTCTGATCTGTAATAATTGGATGCTTAACTAGCGAAATGCAATAGCAGCTGAGGGAAACGAACGAACCATAATGATAAGTGGGTATTTTTGGATAACCGACCTTAAAAAAATGCAAATGACTCCGCCGGTATCCAATTTTTTCACTGATACCCATTAATAATTGGGGATCATGAAGAAGGGCCAAGTGGCGGCAACCGCGCCTTCCAGTGAAAGACGATGCGGGGAAGATAAAAATACAGAGAATGAGGAATGGCGTAAAAAAGAGCTCATATGAGAAAAACGGGACCGGCACGATGGTAACGGTGCGGATCAATCCTCGTAGTTTGTCATCGGCATTTGATTTGTTTTTGTTTGCGACATTCATTCCTCCTAAAAAAGTCTGTAGCACTTTTTTGTGTGATAGGTTGTTCTATCACACGCACATCTCATTGCCATGAACGTCATTATTTTTCAGCGCAGAGAAGCCAAACTAATGTGATAAACAAGACAATATTAAACTTTAAGCAGGATCTCTGGCGCTGCGTAGGGTCCACAAAAGTAATGCAGGGCCTTTTAGCGTACGGACTCTTGCGGATTGAGTGCTGTCATTCGATTTCAAACTGAGATGTCGGAATTATGCATATCAAGCTTGGAAAGAATTGAAAGAATTGGTCCCGCAGTGGCCGCCGAAAATCCATAGTAATCCTATTAGTAGAGAGTATTTTAATATTCGGGTTGTCTGGGACGTCGGCAATATCCCCTAGATTTTAGGGAAGCAAACCTAGAAGGAAAAAAGCAAAAACGGAGCAGGAGGAGTCTAGTACTCCAAGTTTCCAGTTATTTTCATACGTGAATGATCAATCCACTGAGAATATTATCTCGGTAATTCGCATAAAAATAGAGATCTTAACACTCATAACACAGCCTAGCAAGGCTTGTCGACTTACCCCTGAGCCCATGATTTTGAGTAATCGCGCATCCATCAAGCTGTGTCCAATTCTGTGGGAGATTGATATCAACGCATGGCAGGTCAATATGGAAATCATTTGGCAGCTCCTTCTCCTTCCCCTTCTTATCCTCCTTGGTGATATTATCCGGCAGCTCCTGAAATCCAAAGAGGGAACGAGAAAAGAAAGCTTAGAATTAGAAAACCTGACTCCCTATCCTGTCGAACAAATCAAGGGTAGGGCCAAGTATCGCACCAACATGGGCCTCAAGCGGCTTGATCAACACAACTGGTTGACTATCGACAAGAACTATATCGAGCAGCACAAGTTGCGTGATGTCCTTTTTCGGACTCAAAGAAGCAAAGTGTTCCAATGTCTCCCCGAAGCCCGGCATGCGTGTGAGGAATTGCTGAATGAAGTCGCGACATATCTATGCGGTCGTTATCCGGCGATATTTGCACTAGAAAATGATGCAGTAAGGATCACAAAAACCGGCGAGGTGTTCTGCCTCCGGGATCCTACCAATGGCTTAGAGCCGCTCGAGGTTGCAGCTCGACTTGCGATGGAAGACTTCAGCATTGTTTTGGAGAATGACAGCGGACAGAGCTACCTGTAAGTCCAATTAGCTTATACTCAGCGTATGGGCCATCTGCTGACAGCAAGCAAGCGCCGCAACTGCCAGCCTATTCCCAGTTGGATGGTGTGCCAAGGAGCGAATAGGATATACCATTGCTCAAATGCATGGGCCTGTCCCTCTATGGCATAAGGAAATTGAATTTTCTGTCAATAAGTTTGTCATGCCCGTCCCTAGATCGTCCAGAGAAGAGTACAGTTCAACTAATTTCGCTGAAGATTCTTATCACGGCTAGCAGTTGACTCGCCTATGGAGCGGTCAAGCTACTTTATTCAGGTAACTAAACCCGGTGAATCATTGAGTTCGATCCTTTTCCAGCCCGTTGGGCTAGGCCACAAAGATGTCACACCGCGCGCAAAGGATATTCTTATTCGTCGCGAAAGACAGACGTTTCGCAGATTATCCAAGTCCAGGGCCATAGTGTTTGGAGTCAAAACTAGTCTAACGCGCCTTCAGGAGCTGCCGTTAGAAGAATTGAAAAACCTTGTGACGGAAATAAAAAGTTGGCCAGATGCTATAGGGAAATATAAGGGGAGGGATCATTGGGGGTCTGCTGTGATTGAGTGGATGGAAACAAGGGAGGGAGCAAAATAGCTGTAGCCAAAAGAAATAAAAGCTACAACGGGGTTTTAGCATGATGCAAAGAGTTTATATCTGCATTATCATCACATGTTCCAGTGTTAGAAAGCCCAGTGAAGCATTTTTGATTCTTGTGATATGATTAACAACTATTCTGTCTGGAGAGATGAGGTTGGATTTGCCTGGAAAGACGTGTCACGTGCCCCAGAACCTATGGATAGAATGAGAGGGGAAAAAAGAAGAATTACTATAAGAAATGAAAAAACAATACAAATAAACAATGTTTACAGATAAAATTATAGAATATTTGTAAAAATGAAACGCTGTAAGGACTCAGAAAAGGAAGAAGGAATAGCCAGGCTAAGTAATTTAATTCTTAGCTCGTCTTCTGGTTTATCCACGAGCCGTCGCGCTTTTGACAAGGACTTTGCTGTCAGTCCCAATAAGTTACCCACAAAGGAAGAACTTGAGTCCACAGAATACTACTTCTGCAGCAATTTCTCCATGGCATTTCTTCCTTCAAAAGTTGTTTCTTTTATAAATTCAAGACGTTGTCTTCGCCGCCAGTCTTCCACTAGTCTCTCTGTCATGGACGAGTTGCCAAAGATGTGGACAACGCTATCATCTGCTTCCAACGGTTCTCAGTAATCCTATACATACGGTCAAAACCCCTGGAATCCGGACGATCCATTCGCCTCCGTACCATGGTAGTGACCTGGACAAGCGGTTGCGTGAAGAGCAAGACAAGGTGCTATAAGGAAATTGGATCGTCACTTTGGCTAGGTCACGTCAAAGACGATGCTCCCTGAGGATTTGTGTTGTATCGATCGGACTTCTTACGCAAACGAGGAAGCATCGCAGCGAATGATTAGCGAGATTCAGACTATGGTGAAGCCAGTCCCCGAGAACCTGAAACCACGACGGCCTCTCAAAGACCGCGTGCTCGCCCGTCATAATCTACTTCTGATGGATGATCAGTCTCAATTCGATGGGGCAACATCTCATGAAATTCGCGACCACTGGGTCTCCTAGGTTGTTGGCGAGCTCCCAAAGAGAGTCCATACAGCAAAACTGGAAAAAAAATTAACCTCGCTGTTATACAGCGGAATGAAGGCCATGATGAATTAAATTCATGTGCTGAAACCCTCTGCTTCTTTAGTGGTCTCTTTGGTGCTCGATATAATTTTTGCCTTTTTGTCGATGATATCTGTCTCGAGTCATTGAATCATATGGGCTTGCCTGTTGTGAAGATTCTTAGAAGAGACTTTGGCCATTTGGAGCCAGAGAAGAGATGGTACACTATATATCCAGGATTTGAGGATGGTCGTACGGCAGAGCACTATCAGGATGTGGGATGGATGTACATGGATGTGCTGTCCTATCCTGAGTTTTACGCTTACTTTTCAAAGGAACACACTTATTGGTATGATCAATACTCAAGACCACCCGATATGGTCTTTGGATTTGAGACGCCGGGATTCTGGAGGAAATGAGCAGTTCTCTCTTTGCATTGCTGGAGATCAGGAGTGTCATAGTTGCTAATCTTGACTTGAAATCAAATATACCTCCTTCCAGTGCTAAATAATACTTGTGCTATTAAGCTGCTGATAAAATCTGCTTTTGAGGAATTCATTTTAAAGAGAATTGATTTCATAAATATTATTAATAAGAAGAATTGAATAATATTTATCTTATAGTAAATCAATGAATTATGCCTATAATTCTTGATTCTTTACAGTTATTATTATACAAATATCTATTTCTAATAAGAAAACTAGAGTCTGAATTCTGTAATCTATTATTACTGTGTTTTTGAAGAAATTGACAGCTACATAGCAAGCAGGATGTGTCTCACAATCTAGTACGGACTGTATACTGCGTACGGAGTAGAGTACTCAGGCGTGGAAAAATATGCCTTGCACACGCTAGTAATTTAAGCGGTAAAGAGGATACCATGCCTGCTGTCTGACGCCTGCTAGGCACTATTTAGTGCCTAATCTTTTAGGACCTAAGCCCCTAAATATTCGGAGTGCGGGCTGGAGCAATTTGAATCCGGTACCAGAATTTCAAGATAAATTCCTAGTAGGTGCGAGGACTTACACCTATGAGAGATGCTCATAGTCAGAAAGCCAAGTCTGACTAAATTTTATACAGTAATATACTAATTACATTAGGACTAATGTAATGGGTGTGTATCGTATCTATACTGCGTAATGAGTATGAAGTGGAATTAAGTTTTACGCTGAAAACCCCCCCAAAAAAGTGCCGTACTAATGCAAGTCTCCCCTGGTTTACACATTCAAAATGTTTTGGAGTACAGTGATAACCATGTGTGGGGTAGAATATCTTGAGGATGAGACATTCTGAGGATTGTAAGAAAGATGGAAAGCCGCGTTTTGATTAAACATTCCCCCCAGCTCATCTCCCTTCCATTTCTTTCTTTTGTGTGGTAGAGGATTGAGGTCCGTGAGGAAGTAAGGCACTGCAGACCATGTCACTGAAATCCGTAATATAGGATAGGTTACAGGCGGGACAATTTGTTTCGGGATATACATATCTCTCTGTGATATGTGCTCTAGGGCTCCCTGTGCGAGATATAAATGCTGATGAGGCAGCAATGGATGAGTGAGAACGCGCAAAGTCCATTCTTCTCCGGTCAATATTCACCAAAGTAGACGAAGGGAACAGAAAGAAAGAAGGGAAGAAAAAATCCTGTGTACGTTGTCACGGTTAAAGTACCTCCTTCAACCTGATTTAAATGATGTATGTACATACATACATGTACATGTACACGCGTCCCGCAATACTAAGCGAGCGTTTCTAGGGAAGCTAGGATGAGATTTTCAGGATCCTGACACATTCGCCTACCACTGCAGAGAATAGCCGTTTTCGACAAATCATTATGTCTGAACTCACTCTTCAAAGTGCCACCGACATATGCAATTTCAATGCGTTTCCGTGCGTGTGAACTTGATGAACCAGCGAAAACTCAGCGTATTGCTTCTCATTCCCCACCCATTTTTACCTAGCTCCACCAGGGACTAGGAAATTGTATATACAAAGGGTACGCGCAATGAAAACAAAAAAAAAAAAAAAAAAAAAAGCGCACCATCTGCGTCGATATCAAGGATATGACGGAGAAGGCACTGCTGTGTAGGCGCAGTGCCCGAAAGCGCGGATTGTAGGGCATGCCGGATATCAATGTTTTCAGAACCTTAAGAGTGACATGCCAAGTGGAATGCTCCGGTTACAAGCACCGGATCACTTGATTCTGGGAAACAGATTGCAGCTTAAGCGAAATATAGAACGTATCCCGGTCGGTAGTCGTCAAAGCTGTGATGTTGATGTTGATACTGACACGGCTTCTACAGCGGGAGTGGCTTGTGCTTGCTGATTTTGGCCTAGATTCAGTATACCTTCCACATCATGCTCTTCCGCGAGGCATCCGAGAGCATGCAGGACTCCTGGCTGCAAGTTTCTAGGTTACCCCGGCCACGGTGGTATATTTGCACGTTATCCTGGGGGTATGAAGACAACGTTTGGCTTGCGGGACACCTCGAACGTGAGCTGGGGTAGACATGAGAAACTTGCAAGCCCGAAGCTTGCTCCTCTCGCAAGCTCACTTACCTAGTATGCCAGGCGCAGTGAAGATGGCCCTGTTTTAAGTCGCCGTAATAAGCAACGTTGTGGTAGATAATGTATGTGAGAGGTTGCAGTGTAAACATATACTTCGATGGATAGACAGGAATGGGAAAATAATAATAGAAAATTAATCAACACCCAAAATATTTGATAGACGATGCAATTTTCTGCGGGTATTAGTCGCCTAGAAGAAAAGAAAACCGAGAAGAAGAATATTAAAAAACGCGCGGAATAGGGCAGTTGATGCAAGGTCTGGTGATATCAAAAACCACACAAGAAATAACACGCAAGTATAAAGTACGTCTATCTGGAAATGTCTATAAGCTCAATATCAAGGAGGAAAAAAAAAGAAAAAATGGCGTAAAGGAGAACGCACCAGAGGGGGGCGGCAAATATAAAACATAAGAGGAAAAGTAAAAAAAAGGAAGGAGAAAAGTCAGTTGGGAATAACCCTGCATGTTTTTACAGTTTAGTCGCCTTGCTGGGAGTTTCTTGCTTCAGCCGCACAACGCCCTAATAATTATTGACATGTTAGTATAGATAGAAATGCCTGGAAAGGTACTCATCTTTCCCGGCGCGGGGGTGAAGAAAAGAGTGCGAAAGTTCTCACCTCCTGCACACACGTCGCCACCAGTGTCCCATCCTGTGCCCAGATCTTTTGCATCACCAGCCCTCTCTCATCCCCTGCCCACGGGCTCGTCATCTCCGTGAACAGCCACTCGTCCGCTCTGAATCCCCCACGACTGTGGAAGTAAATAGTATGATCTAAACTGACCATCATGCCCATCTTCCGCGGTGGCTCTCGAGAAGTAGCACCAGAATCTTCTTGTATATAGCCAGCGGAGAATTCAGCGGCTTCTTGCCGCGCAAGCTCCCTGGTGGATCTCTCTATTTCCTCGATGTCCAGATCAGAGGGATTTTTCAGCTTGGAGATAGCTGCTTTTAGAGCTTTAGGGGACTCGAAGCGAGGGATGTTTTGGACCCGCGCAACGGTGCCGATGAAATAGCTATCAGACATGTATGCGAGAGCGGAAAGGTGAGCTTTGCGCCCGCCAGTGATGGTACCGCGTGCACGGATGAACTGGTGGATGGCTTTTTGTTCTGCACGGGGAGAAGTCCCTGGAGGGAGTTAGTTTTGGCTCCAAATATAAAGTCTGGGAGATAAAAAAAGAAGCCCTTTTTTCTCTCTATAAACATACTATTAAGAATTCCCGCTCTTCTCGTCTCAAAAGGGCCTCTGTCGACAGTATTTCCATTCGCCGGCGGCAGCGCCACGTCCGGTTTCTGTGTACTATGCTCAACCTTTTTCACGCCGCCGCCTCCCTCACGGTCAAAACTTATCGTGGTTGTGAAAATGGGTTTGCCCCTTTGGCGTGCCTGTACGGTACGAGTTGCGAAAGATCGTCCTTCCCGAACACGTTCGACATGGTATACGACGGGGATTTCAGAGTCACCGGCCAACACGAAGTAGCAATGCATGCTATGCGGAGAGAATTCAGGCCCAACGGTTAACTGGGCAGCAGCAAGGCACTGGGCAATAGCAGCACCGCCGTAAATTCCGCGCGCACCAGGGGGATGCCATAGTGGCCGGGTGTTTGTAAATACGTCCTGGACAAAAATTTAGTTAGCGCCTTTCGGTAGAGTAACTATGAGTGAAGTGGCATTCCATGCACTGGACATGGCCGGCTCATCTTTGCTCGAACGGGTTTATTCATTGATTCTTACCGGCCCAATGTCGGATACAGGGGTCAGCTCGAGGATATTCTCTATGTGAGACTTGGACGGGTCCTGCGGCGGAGGTTCAAAGAGTGTAACTTTCATGGCGGCGGTTGTATGGCGGGACGATGACCGGGAAGAGTGGGGGATACGGAGGTTAGAAGAAAGACGATTGCTTGAGGTAACATATACAAGCACAAAACGATCAATTTCCCACCAGCCTCAGAAATCCTAGAAACAAAACAAACGATTGTCGCAGGAGATAGATTTCAGTTATAAATTTATTGTTGTTGGCGGTTTTGTCGCCTCCTGAGCTGAAATGCGATTCGGAAATGCCGAGGTCCAGCACACATGAACAGCCTAGGCAACGACGGCGTAGTTGGTTGACGACAATGGAAAATGCGGAATAAAGCAGACGACAAAGAATATTTACTCCATTGAGATCCGTATTTGTCTTGTTCACAGGCTGCGATAGTGGTCACAAATGGCATATGATGATTCTTGTCTTTGTCCCCTCGCATAGCTAAAATTCCGTACCAGATCCCCTCTCAGGAAAGATCTGCAACTCCATCGGCTGCAACAGGAGAATACCTACTCCGTATAGTAATAAGGAATTCCCAAATATACTACCTCCCCAGGGAAACAACTTTTTTAGAATATCATTGTGCTGATGCAGGTACTCAAACGACCCTTGGGCAGGGCAGGGATCCAACAGCCATATCTTCGAGATCCAAAAGACGAAAAACAACCTTGGAAGCGACGTCACCGCTTATTCAAAACCAATAGAAATAAGTGATAAAATATATACATATACGGAGTATGTAGCAGATTCAATATTCCATTTACATCGGTTGGAATATTCAATCGCTTCCAAATTATATCACGTTTAAAGATAGAAATGGGTAAATATAACTAGCTTAGGAACCCCACAAAATCAACCCGGGGCGCCCAAAGTCCCAAGAATATCCAGGTACTCCGTACAGTAAGTAACTAGTTAGTTCATCCCGCCAAAAAACCCGAAAAAAAGAAAACAAAACAGAGGAGCCGAAACTTTATAGTTGCCGGCAAAATCGGTCTTTTCCAACAAGGTTTTCGGATATCCTCCAGAACAAAACCCCGGATTCCTGGCGTCGCCCGAAAGCCTGGAAGGAACATGAAATCAAAAGAACCCCATTGGTAAACTACCGGGGGAATCCTTGACACTAGCCGTTTCCCAGTAAAGAACTGGCAGTGTTGATTGGGTTCCGCGGTTATTGGGAAGACTGCGGCTAATAAACGTATTTCGGGTCTATTTCTCCACTTCCTTCTGTTCCCTTTTGCTTCTCTCTTCCCCTCCCTCAACCTCTCATTCTTAGTGGGGTGTGGGGATAAGCGAGATGGATGAGAATTAAATCTGTACGTATATATATATCGGCGGGTGAGGTCGGGAGGGGAAAGGGATGTAGTACATTTTATACTTGTTATGATAATTCTCGATAATTGCATCCATACATTACGTACATGCGTAGACGAAAAGCAAACCACTGCGCGTGAAACGCGAAGAAAAAAGAATCCAAGGAAAGAGAAAAGTAAAAAGAATAAACCATGGCCCCTTCCGTCGTCAGAGAAGATCTCACCAACCCGATTGTTCCCGCGAACAAAAACGCCAGCTCCCAGCAAGAGCAAAAGCCTGGAGCGGCCATTGAGCAGGTCCAGCTGCGCAATCGCACAGTGACCGGCCAGCAGCTAAACATCAGGCAATATCCCAAATTCAACAGCCTAGAGGAAGAGCGCCTTTACCGCAAGCAGCATCTGGCAGCGGCGTTTCGGGTTTTTGCTGATCGCGGCTTCGATGAGGGTGTGGCGGGCCACATCTCTGTCAGAGATCCGATTTTGACGGATCATTTTTGTACGTTTTCTCCACTCTTGCTTTGTCTTCGCCAATTTCCCCATTTCCCCTATTCCTTGGCGGCCGCATATAGGGAAAGGGAGGAAGCATAAATGTGAAGGGGTGCGAGGGTCTCATTATGGAAATGAGATTATGTATATCTCAAATCTACTGCCCTCTACTTGCCAAGACCCAAAATACACCCCCACCACAAAACAACATTAACCCCAAAGAACGCAAACAGGGCTAAACGCACTCTCCCAAAACTTCTCCCAAATATCCGTCTCAGACCTAATCCTAGTCAACGAAGACGGTGACGTCGTCATCGGCACCGAGCCCATAAACTCAGCCGCCTTCGCCATCCATTCCGAGATTCACAAGGCCCGTCCCAACGTTAACGCCGCCTGCCACGCTCACAGCGTCTACGGCAAAGCCTTCTCCGTCTTCGGCCGCGAACTCGACATGATGACCCAGGACGCGCTGCGCTTCTACAAATCCCACGCCGTCTACGGCGAATTCCGCGGCGTGGTGCTGGACCGCGAAGAGGGCATTAATATCGCCCGCGCGCTAGGGGATGGCAAGGCGGTGATTTTGCAGAATCATGGGCTGCTGACGGTTGGCGAGAGTGTGGATGAGGCGGCGTTTTGGTTTATTAGTCTGGACAAGACGTGTCATGCGCAGCTGTTGGCGGATGCGGCGGCAGCTGGGTCTGGGTATAAGAAGATTTTGATTGGCGAGGAAGAAGCGGAGGTAACGGCGGAGCAGGTTGGTGGCCCGGATAAGGGTTGGTTGGCTTTCCAGGGGTATTATGATGAGCAGCTTGCGAAGACAAACGGATCATTCTTGAAGTAGGGCAGTAGTATGTATGCCCAGGGATCTGTTGCTCTTGCTCTGATCATGATTGTTCCTTTTGTGCTGATTTTCCCCTTCCCATTCTCTGATGTCAGGGAAAGGGTATGGATGAGGATGAGCAGCATTTCATGATAATCGATCGGCAAATATATGATAGGGGGACGGGCCTCGTCCGTTATATATTTCCATCATATGTGAAGGAATCTGTTTAGTCAATGACGTTATATTGACGTTGTCGCATTGATTATTATCTCATGATTGTATCTTTCCTTCATAACATATGCTCACCCCGTTTTGCCGCTCGTGAAATAGAAAGATTTGGGCTAGCCAATCATCAAGACAACGAAAAGAAGTGAGGGGGATAGGATAATAGTAGTAGCGTAGGGTCTGAATAAGAAATCGTTCAGGAATCCGAACGACATGGAATCGCGTTAAAAGTTATACAAATCCAAAAATAAAAAAAAATAAAAAAAATAAACAATAAAATAAAATAAAATAAAGAGATAGAAACAAAAATCAAAGAATGGAAGAATAGAGAAAAGAGAGATATATAAAAAGTAACGTGAAATTGGAAACGTACGCCTACCGGGATATCGCTAAAACCGCTCTGCAAAACCGACTTTAAAAAAAAAAAAAAAAAAAAAAAAAAAAAAAAAAAAAAAAAAAAAAAAAAGAAAAAGAAAAAAAAGAAATGAAAGACATCATGGTACAGAAACTCGAAAAATGAAGGGCATCTACCCCTGAAAAACGGACGTAACTTTGAATGTTTTCCAAAGCCATCTAGTTTCTGTCGTGGATGATATATAGGTATGTTTATATCGATATATGGGATAGACAAATGGTTATAGATCGCCTAGTTCGACAATGGATCGTCTCATTTCTCTCGGTTCATGTCGATGGGGTCGCGTTCTTCCAGGAGGTGTGCCTTTTCGAATACTCCCATTATGTGGTAATGATCGATTACTTATCCTGCCTGGGGCATAACCAGGTGGTGGAGAGGGTGGTAGAGGGCGTTCGTAGGGTGATCTTGGCGGTTTGACTGTTAATTCTTCGTCTCCATCTAAGCCCGGATCAGGGAGATCGATGCGGAAGGTGCTCTGAGTGACCTCAGGACTGGGTGCCCGGTCTGCATCTTGCTGTAAATAAAGTCGCAGAAGCTGTCTTCGTTGCAGTTCTGCGTCATCGACAGAAACCTCCCCGTTCCGTCCCCGCCGGAAGGCGTAACGTCGCGGTACGAAAACAACATTATGAGAGTTGTAAATAGCTGCAGCTCCAAATGCAGCAGTAGAAACGGTGGAAATGGTGATGACTGCGATAGAGAGGGCGGTGAGGGGTGTTAGCCGCCTTACTAAAATATTCAAGGCTACGTTAAAGACGCCTATAAGGCTCGATCCGAAGCACGGTCTGTGGGGGAGTGGGTTTTGCACGTCAGTATGTAATGTACAGTACATGTACAGGACCATGGCTTGCGACGAAAGTTTCCGGGTTTTGAGCCGGACTCTCATGATGGTAGGTAACGGGAGAGTGGGATTATAATTGGCATACATGAAAATGAAGTCGACCAAATAATGCTTCTTCCTCCATCGCAAACAGAAACCAACGCACACCAGGTAGCCAACGCCGACGAGGGCTGTGCCGGTAGCGGCCAAAGCAAACTGGCCGCCGCGCATATCGTCCGCATTGTTATCGATCGCAAGAGGGAAAACAACAAATCTAGAGAAGAGGATCAAGATATTAATCAGCTCAGTCGTTTGAATATTCATGGACAAATATGTCATTAATTTCAACATACCCAGCGAGAAGAAGCCAAGCTGAGATGCTTGCTAATAACTTCCAGTACCAACGTAGGTCCTCCTCGAGGATTCCCAAGGACAGTCCTAGCTCCGAATAACGAGGGGAGCCCATTGCGGCAAAGGGTCACTGCATCGAGGAGGAGGAGAAAACGAGCACGGCAATAGAGAGGAAAAGAAGAAATGATATAAAGTCAGGAAAAGGAGAGATGATAAGCTGCCAAAAGTGGTTGGATGATATGTTGATCTGGTTGCTGGCACTGAGCTCTAGGCTGACAGGTACGAGTCAGATGTATGCCAGCGCAAACCAGAACACCAAAACGATCTCGCTGGGCAGATGCGACTGTTACTTTTTAGCACCTGATTACTTATTTGAACAACTGGTGCGGACGAGAAGCAGGGAGAAAATTGCGAAGAAAGAGTTTTGTGGTTGGAACTGGAGATACGAAACAGCAAACACAGGAAAAATGCGGCGAGGGTCAAGAAATCAGAGCGCACAACGAGGCTCTGGGCAAAGCAAATGCCCGGTCAGGCAATCAGTTCAATCGGGACTCCAACAAGACAGAAAAACTGGTTGGTTGGTGGCGGAGTGGAATCGTTTCCCGACCGTAGCGCAATTGGTCTGTTTGTTTGAGACTGTTGAACGAGGCGGGGCCAGGAGGGGCTGGAAAACGAGGGCTGGGGGGGGTCAATTAGGCTGGAAAAGGAGGGTTAAAAGGGAACAAGAGATAGTCCCTTTGTATCCAAGAATGAAAGCGAGCGTTGGTTCCGATGAAAGATGGAGATCTTTAGAGCAGAGGAAGGGAGTTGGGGAGAGGGTTACATAGTAGTACTCCGTACATAGGTTAACTACCCAAACGAAGAGAAAGAAAGGAAAAGCAACGACAACCAGCACAAACAAACAAAGAGATTAAAACGATCCTCTGCCTGTATAACCACGGATCTGGACAGTTTTCCCGATTATTATCTAGGTCCCGCTTCCAGCGATGGGGTAAATCTGGGGCTGGAGGACCAGAGCTTTGTCTCCTGTTAACACCCTATCCTTTTCTCCCCTTTTGCCCTTATGCTCAATGAGAAGAATTCATGGGTGAAAAGAATCACAAATTCCTGCAGACAAGCAGAGAGCGATAAGGTAATAATACATAGTAATATGCCACAAATCTTCAGCTTGCCCTCCAATCCAACTCCGAGTCCGGCATATTGCCCTAATCTGGCACGCTGTTCCTCCAGTCTTCTCTCCCTTCCCCAATCAGATCCCAGCTTAACCAAACGCCCCCCCCAACACTTCTAGGCCTAATTGGGGGCTGGATCTAGGCGATTCTTTAACTAAATTTAACTAAGTTTAGGCCAAATCTTACCCACACGCGCCGATCCATTAGCCAAATTTTCGGGGCTCTTCAGCAGGAAGTGGGGCCTTGGCAGTTTGTAACAGAATATTGTTTTTCATTGCTTGGCTGAATTCCTCTGCATTGTTTTGTAGTAGAGTCTCCTCTGCCTCTGATTGAGAAATGTGAAGAGGCATAAATCAAACCATGAGAAACCAACAACTATGTGATTATGTTTTGATTTCTGCTTGTTTCTCGGTCTCTGCTCAGGTTTTGCAGTCTCCCCTGTAACCGTTGCTCTCGTTGCAACGACTTGGCTTGCGCTCGTAAACACTGTGGCACAGTTCCCTGGCATGATAACAGTTAGTCGAACGCAAGCAAGACTCAAGAGGCCTGCGAAGGCACTGGGTTCGACAACCGGCCCCTCGAAAAGCCCTGCCCTGCCATAGCCCCAACAACTGTCGTCCTTGTCTCAGTTCTGCGCGTAGAGTCCCGTGGTTGTTAGGGCTGTGTCGATCTTCGTCTTCCACTGGTGATCGTAGAAAAAATCATCCAACGCCATTTATCTACATTCCCAAGGAATTGACGCATTGTCATCGACAAACTTTAACCCCGCTAATTGACCTTTTTTTTTTTTTTTCCTATCTGTTTCCTAATTGTTGTCTGCTTTGTGGGCGACAACTTATTAATGTCCCAACCCAACCAACGTCTTCGGCTGAAAGTGTTCGAAGTTGAGACATTTGGAGATTTCTAAAGATCTAAATATGCAACTCACTGCCACGAGCCCCAGCCAACCTGCAGGGCGGCTGTGCGTTAACACTAATGGCGTACATCTAACTATCATCTTATGGGAAATGCGGTGCCTCAGAACTTGACCGTTAACTAGGGCTAAGGCTAATGTCAGCAAGACGAAGTCTCCGACACGAATGGCCGAGACTCGAAGAATGGTAACCAAAAGCTGAGCGAGCAAAGAAAGAGTTTCAGACGGATGGATGCCTGCACTTTTCCTTAAATTTCCTGCCAATCCTTCGGGTTTGATATTTAAACAGTTGCCTGACCTGTTTACCTTTCCAGCCTTGTAAAAATCAACAATATTGTCACAAACTGTGAAATTTCGTCATTTGATGCTCAGAGACACTATATACAGCTCACATTCTCCCTCGCATTTCTCGGGCAGTGAAAAAGGCAATGAAAACCCAAAAAAACAATGACTATCCATATTCGGCGTTATAGCTTCCTCACACCTTGTCTGGGTTTCAAGGAACAGCCCTTGTTGCTTAACTATTGTTTGCGCTTTGCGACAAGAGCAGATGCACAGAATGAAACATCAAAGAAGCGAAAAAGAGAAGGGAACAAACACCTTTCCGGACGAGTTCAATGACCTTCGAAGCTTCGTGCTTATAGCTTCCTGTGCTTCATGAATCTAATCCTTGTTGGTCGAATTGCTCCACCCGGACAAAGGAAACAACAATAATTAACAATAATGGATCATCAACGACTGCTGGTTATAAATGGCTGGCTGGATGGATGAATATATATTTACAGACCAGACCCCAAGATGAGATGCCCGTTCTTCCCAAATCGTCAAAGTCAATAAATAATATTGATGGTCATTCTGATGCGTTCCCGTTTCCTTTGTTTGGACGCATTCCGGGGAAAAGGTCCGAACAAAAGTCATCCATGGATCCCTGAAAGCTTCATCCTACAGGTGGCTAGATGCGGTGAGGAAAAAGTTGTCCATGCAGAGCAGAAAGGCCAGGGACCTACCCAGGGACATGTAATAATGTACTCCGTACGCATCCGCATCATTTATTGTTTTTCCCCTGCAGGTTGCACCAAAAGTAATAATGAAAAGGAACCTTGGAAGAAAACTCTTGTCCACTAGTTTCCAATTATATATACAAGGTTTACCGTTCGCATATACCGTCGAGGTTCATTGTACGCTATAACTTTCCCATGAGCAACGTGGTAAATAATTACCTAGGGAGGGCGAGAACACTCCCCGTTCCGGAAATCACGCAACGCTTGCTCCGATTGCAAAATTTACGTGTTAAGGCATAGGGCACACAGGAGCAAGCCCGATTGACAACAACAATAATGATAATGGCAAGGCGACCAACTCCTCTCTTTGCTCCGGGTCAGGATTCGAGAGTTGATATGATATGGGAAGGAATCAAGGCTGGTAGAAACGTCCACTTCCCCCTGCCAAGACTACCATGCGATCCCACCACGCACCAACCACGCACGACCACGCACGACCATGCCTCCAGACCCTCAACTCGATATCCTCCTCTTGTTGGCTGGCTACATTTTGAAGTCCCTTAGAAAATTTAATTTTTGAAATCTGGAACGCCTTTTCACTCCTTTTGCTTTCCTCCCCTTTCCCTTCCAAATACTTGGCTTTACTTCCGTCTAACCTGCTTAGGTTTTTTAGATATTAAATGTTAACAGACACCTAGTCTTTATCTAAGTTACTCCGAATTTCAGCAACCCAGTTTTTCCCTTCTTCACAACCTTGCCGCTGACAGGGGTGGGCATGGAAAAGATTTTATTGTAGGCTACTGGGGCAAAAGAGCTCGATCACCACCAGCGCACTGCTGGTAGAAGGGCCGACCAACCGCGGGACCCCCAACACCCCCCCTCGGACCAGCTATCACAGAGTACAGTACTTCCCCTCAGTGGCTCCCTTCAGTGGCCTCCCCACAATGGCTCCTTTTTAATAATGGACTCAGTCAGTCCTAGGGCTCACGGGACTTCTAGGGCACACTCCTGGGATGTCTCTTGACACTGTTAAAATGTCCAGGATATTTGTTAGGAATTTTTAAGTCCATTCTGGGATTGAACCCATGCATGTTGATCACAGCGGGGCTCACGCTTAACAGTCTCATAACCTGTAGGCTACTGGGACAAAAGAGCTCGATCACCACCAGCGCACTGCTGGTAGAAGGGCCGACCAACCGCGGGACCCTCAACATGTAGGCTACTGGGGCAAAAGAGCTCAATCACCACCAGCGCACTGCTGGTAGAAGGGCCGACCAACCGCGGGACCCCCAACACCCCCCCTCGGACCAGCTACCACAGAGTACAGTACTTCCCCTCAGTGGCTCCCTTCAGTGGCCTCCCCACAATGGCTCCTTTTAATAATGGACTGGACCACTCAGTCCTAGGGCTCACGGGACTTCTAGGGCACACTCCTGGGATGTCTCTTGGCACTGTTAAAATGTCCAAGGGTATTTGTTAGGAATTTTTAAGTCCATTCTGGGATCAAACCCATGCATGTTGACCACAGTGGGGCTCACGCTCAACAGTCTCATAACCTGTAGGCTACTGGGGCAAAAGAGCTCAATCACCACCAGCGCACTGCTGGTAGAAGGGCCGACCAACCGCGGGACCCTCAACACAACATTTATATCCTAGCTGAGTAATAAAAATATCTTAATGCATACAAGCCTCTGTGTGCAAAGATGTTGCAGAGCTAAGCTCAAAACAGAAGGCTCTGCAAGATTGATTTTACAGCTTATTATTAATAATAATAGAAGGAATAGAACTGTAAAAACATATAGAGATTCATTTTTTAATAATAATAGAAGAAATAGAACTGTAAAAACATATAGAGATTTATTTTTCAGTATAAAAGTATCAGCTAACTAAGTAAGGAAAAAAATAAAAAACACTCTGCTCTATCTCACTAACTTATATATTATTCTTAAGAACAGTTTGAGTAATCTGAAGAAGACTTATAATAGTTCTGAATTTAATCTTCAGAGCTGTATTCTTCTTGTACAGAGTCTCATTTTCAATATAAAGAGTTAAAATCTCAATATTATAACTATTAACTGACTTAACACTTACTATCTGTTTTTTCAAGACTCTAGTCTCTGTATTCTCAGTCACAGAGTACTTTTTAAATGAACTCTTTTTCTTAACTTTCTTTCTCTTTTTATTCTTCTATTTCTTTTCTTTCACTTTATCATTCTTCTTACTGATATTGACTATGTATAACTATTAGTTAATTATATTAAAATTAATATATTTCATATTAAAAAGTGACTTACTTCTATAATAAGAGTAGTGACTTTCAGTGCTATTATAATAATAACTGATACAAGCTTTATAACACTAATTCAGAGTGCTGATACAGATAATAAAAGAGTCTTCTTCTCTAATACAGTGACTGCAGAGAACTGTAAAAACAGTATTATAAAATTATAGAAGAAGAACTTTATAATTTATATTAATTTTTATATTAATCTGATAACTCTTCTGTAAGACTAACTTATAAGTATAGAATAATTTAATAAGAGTCTGTAGCTTTTTTGATAGCTTCTCAGACATTCTTTTAGTTAAATAAGTTAATAATTAACTTAATAATCTAGAATTAACAGATACAGTAGAAGTAGATACAGATACAGATATAGAACTGAGAATAAGATTAACAGTTAATAGCTTAATAGACTGAATAAGATTATTAAGAACTATACTAACTGTTAAAATTGTAATTTTCATTATTTTAAGAATCTTACTTATAATAAATATGTTTTGAGATATTGTTTTCAGTTATAATAGTAGTATTGATGATTTTTTGAACTTCTAATGAATTAATAGAAGTAAATGATATAATTTCTGAAAAAAAAAAAAACAGCTGACAGAGATAAGAGATGAGAGATAAGATAAATTCTTTAAAGAGAAAGAGAATACTCTAAGATTCATTCACTTTCTCTTATACATGTGTTGATAACTGTAAGAATTCAATATCTCTTATTATATAATATAATACAGATCTTAATAACACAGATCTCAGAAGATTCTTAATCTCTCAGATTAAAGATATCATTATATTAAAGCTAGATTATATAGATTAATATTCAGATTATTTCAATATCTTCTATAGACTGCTAACTACTTATTCTCAGATTCAGTGATTAGAATAGAATTAGTCATAATAAATTTATTAAATTCAATAATTAAATTCAGTGAATCTGTGAGTAGAATAGATAAAGAGAATAATAGAATAGAGAATGAAAAACTTACAGTAATGAAGAATAAGTGAATAAACAGATTAAATATAAACTGTGAAAAAGATGAAATAAAGAGTGAATAAAGCTATATAAAATATAGATTAATAGAGATCTATAAAAAGAAAAGAGATATAACTTAGTTATCTATTAACTTTAATATCTTATATAATCAATCTTATGCATCTGCATACTTCTGCTTACTTCATCATCAGACTGATAAAATCTGAAATAATCAAAGAGTTGTTTAAATAGAAGATCTTAATATATTTTAATCTATGAAACTGTAACATATGTGAGATCAGTCTGAAATTCAGTCTTAGAAATATTAAGAACAGTCTGATCAA